TTCCGGATCTTCCAGATGGTACATTGAAAATATTTCTCCTGAAATGGACAATTTCATCGTAAGCACCATTGGTATCTCGTGACTGATTGGTCTTGATTTTAGTGCGTAACACCTCGTAATCGGGTAGGTTTGGTTGAATTGTGCTTTGCGCTCTCTTTGTTAAATCTTGAGATCCCTGGAGAGAAGTAGTTAACTCGTGGGTACTCGCGAGCGTACCACGAGTTATTGCAGGGACAGGGGTATGCACATGAGACACTCGCTCACTCGTAGTAGACGCACTTGGTAATTAATTGGGTCCGAACTCGAGAGCGCGAAGATCTATCGTTTCCAAAGAAGCACGCGCTCGCCGAAGTTCGGTGGCATCAAATTCCTTGCTGAGAGCGTGCATCGTGCGCTACAGCACGGTTAGAGGATAGAGGTCTTACCAAATTTAAGACACGCAGGAATCTTTCAGATTAGTACGATTCAAGAGCCTTTGACTCGTCCAGGGTTAAACTTGACGAGAAGATGAGCATTTGCTCTACGACTCCTTCAACTTCGACGCTGGCTTGATCTCCTACCTTGTAGTTATGTAGTGGATTATGTTTATGAATGAATGTATGGTAAATAAAAAATAAACGCACTTCTTCTTCTTCTTCTTCTTCTCAAGGACTCCCCAAGATCTCGGGGGGAAATGGATGTGATTTTGAACATTAGCTTTAAAATAACAGAGAAATCGAGATAAGAAAACATTAGCTTATGTTTTGCGTCCTACTTCGCGGAGGAGTTGTGTTGGCTTTGTATCGCATATGTTCTTTCATTGCCATGTAATGCGTTTACATTGTTTTTTACTATCAGTAGCCTGGTTTCAATTAGCCTTAATTTCATCCGATTGCTTCGAGTCCTTTTTTCAATCGGTTAAGTATGGCTCGATCCTCAATGGCGTATGTAGTGGCTATGTGAGGTCGGGTCAACCCGAAGGTACCGGGTTCATATTCTGCTAAGGACCTTCTTTTTCCCTTCTTCCATTTTTGTTTTGTTTTGTTTTGTTTGCTTATTTGTTTTGCTGATGTTTTTGTTTTTGTTTGTTTTTAAATATATACCTAAATAAATAAAGTGCAATAAACAGCAAGAAAAGTACTGTGTTTCCAGAACAAGGATAGTATATTTATAATCTGAATTTCTATCATTTCCTAAAATTTACTGTGGGAAAACCAGACGTGATAACCAACTGATTATTTTCTAAACAACGTTCCCACGAGTTGACGATAGTCTTTCTTTGATTTGATTCACTTCATTACTTGCTAGATGAACCACATCCGAACCACATCCAAGTCAATCACCGACGTATGCAAATCCAAGTTCATAGAGTTCAGGGCCGTAGCCAGGAAGAAACTACAACCGAGGCGAACACACGGTCCGTTGCACGAAATCAGCCGTATGAAATCTTCTAATATTATCAGTCTGATAAAAAAAATAAAAATCGACAGTATTTGGTAAAATTTTACCGAGGCGAGTGCCTCGGTTCGCCTCATACTGGCTACGGCGGTGGAGTTTGCAAAATTAGCATTTTCAGCTTGCCGGGGAACATTGTTTTGATAAGCAGATTGACTATTTTCTTCGACAACTTCTCTTTTACTAGACTCAGGTTCTCCCTCGTTTCCGTCCGCTAAACTGAAGTTCCCTTTGTTCCTCGTACAATCCTGCAGCATTTTTTCCAATCTTCAGGCCTGATCTCTCAGGGTTTGACTCTTTAACTCAAGATATCCATAACCTTTCTCCTCCCATAGATCCTTCATCTCTTCTATATTAAAATAACCTTTCTTCCTTCCATTTGCGTAATAAGGAGGAATATTTGAAGACACCATTTCCTTGGCTCTTTTTTTGCACTCTAGAATATCGCTATATAATAATATTTAATATCTATATTACGCATTTTCTGTAAAAAAATAATCAAATGAGTGTAAGAAATTTTTATCACACTATACCGAGCTTCACAAGGTTAGGTATGTGGGAAGCAATGTACTGTACTGGTACAACATCATATATTAGTATATCCACACTCAGTAATCTTGGTGATTAAAGCAATCTGATTGGTTCCCTCTCTCGGACTATTCAACAATATTCACCTCCTAGCGAGTGGATAATGTGTGAGCTCGGTGTTTTTCCCATTTTTTTAGAGAACGATCCTTTAAAAGTCGACAAAATCCTAGGGCTGACTTTTTTTGAGGCAAGAAAAGACTTGGAAGGATTCAATACGGCGTTTTAAATTTACTGTAACCGAGTTTTGTTCTCGATGGATTGTTTACAACTCCCGTGTATTCGCTTAGAAGAAGCCGTTTCGTGAACTCAGCGTTTTCTAAGAAGAAAATTTTGGCCCAAAAATCGAAGTTTATTTACGACAAACAAAGTTAAAAGGAAATGTAAATAAATTCTACGTTTCAAGTAAACAGGAAAAAGAATGATACAGGAAGACGACGTCTTACCTCGAGCAACCGAGCCGCAATTTATGTCAGCACTTCATGCGAAGAACGACACAACAAACCTTTTTGGCTGTAAACTTGGCGAGTCAACAGAAAACAACAAAACTCTACTTTTCTTCTCAGGTAAGGAAACAGTTCAAACTGTTAGCCGTTCCATTTAAGCCATTACGCTGTTGTTTGCGAAATGATAAACTTGTGAATTGCCATGTTTGAAAATTCAGCAAAGATCTAACTTTTAAATGATTTCCACTCTAATTTTGTTGAGATCACTTCGGGTGTATATACTAAAACAATTATTCTTTTCAATCTCGGTGAATAGTGACTTTGGGAATACAGCCACTATTCACCTCGATTTCAAAGAATAATTGTTAATTATCCACACTCAAAAAAGGTATCCACGAAACGTATAAAGACCTTAGATACGTATGTACTCCAGGTGAAGAGCAAATTTTAAAATTACTTGCAAGATCGGAAACTGAGTAAGCTAACACTACACTCTGTCTACTTTTCAGACTGAACAGACAATTTTTAGTTAAACTTAAGCTTGCCTGCACCATCAAATCCAAAGTGCGCTGAGCCTCTTTCAACAGGCGATTCTTGGACATGACTGAACTGCAAAAACATTTACAAACAGTCTGATTGCAAGAAAAAAAGCAAACAATTTTAACTGACAACTTAGTCCCCTAAAAATTGGCTTCATAAAACTGAAATGTAACAAACTACAGTCCAATTGGCCAGCCTGCCGGGAAGACAACAGGGATGCGAATCCGCTGGAAAGAGCTCGATGTATAAAAAACACCAACAATTTATACAAGTTTGTCGGCTTACTCACCTGCGATTTCACAGTTATATTGCAGAAATTAACTCAGCAATTACATGTATAATCGGTAAAAGCAGTGTTAGTTTTGGATAATAATATCCATGGTAAGAGTACAAGTGCGCCATTTTGTATTTTCTCTCTCCCTCGTCCCCTTGAAGCTCGAGAGGAAGCCTGGCCCAGGCTGGCATTTTGAAACATGCACACGAAAAAACCTTAAGCAGCTTAAGCTAATGTTTTTTTTTCTATTAATAGGCACTTGAGATAACATGTTTGGTAATCGCCCTTTTCAACTGTTAAAAGCTTAAATTAAGCTTATACTAACAACAAAAACAACAACAACATCTTACTCACCTTCTGCCAACACAGTTCGGTTGTTTTGTCGCCGTTGTCTTCGCCTTAGTACATCTCTTTCGCGTTGGTTATTGCTTCGTTGTTGCCTATATAGTCTATTTCTTCCTCTTTCCGCTTCTCGGCGTTCTTCGCTACAATTTTGTCTGTTTTCCGCAGAACGGACTCGGGCTTCTCGGCATTTTTCGCTACAATTTTGTCTGTTTTCCCGAGCCCGGACTCTTTCTGCTTGTCGACGTTCTTCGCTAAAATTTTGCCCGTTTTCCATAGCACGGACTCTTTCCCATTGTCTCCGTTCTTCGCTGAAATTTCGCCTCCTTTCTCTTTGCCGAGCGCGCCTTCTTTGGCGATCTTCTTCGCTCATGCTTCCGCAGTTAATTCTTGCTCTCTGCCGCCCTCTTTCCCGTTGCTCTACACCTGAACCCTGTGTTCTGCAAATCATATTTTCTCTGCTATTGTTTCTTGACATAGTAGTAAAACTTTAGGAGTGCAGAGTAATTGTGTCGCAAAACGACAATGAACTGAAATTTTTTTTTTCAATCGTCAATGCAATTTCCTTTCCAAAAATACGCGGGCTACCCCAACTCGAGACTTGAGCCCGCGATCTAGTAAAACAATTGACTGGTCAGCATCACCTTGATGATTTGACACATGAGCCTGCGATATGGTCTTGTGATACTAGTCAGTTGCAATCCTGTTTTGACAGCTGTCAATTGACCATATTAGGGCCATTTATACGAGGAAATATAAGACGCGTCTTACATAAGACGCGAACTGTATCATTTATACGAGCATGTCTTATCTAATAAGACGCGTCTTAGCTAAGCCGCGTCTTATTTTAGACGAAATGAGCCATTTATACGGAAAGTTCGCGTCTTATTTAAGACACGTCTTACGCGTCTTATTTTTTCTCGTATACCCGACTTTCATAATGGCGGACTGCTCGGGCGGAGTGGGAACGAACCACATCAGAGCGAGGCAAGTAAGGCCACGGTAACCAAAACAATCCAAAACAAATCGAAGCGACGCGACGCCACGGAAGCAATCTTACTACGGATTTATCTACAGCTGGCATCTAGCATGAAATATGTCGAGTGAATCGTTTTTAGAAGAGCAAGATATTCCTGGTGCGTCACTTTGCGGTCGAAAGCCGTCTGAATTTAAGAACGAAGAACTTAAATTTTGGTTGAAATGTAGAGGTGATCCGGGCAAAGGCCTCAAAACCAAAGCTGAACTTGTAAATCTTACTTATATTCTACCAGTCACTTGTAAGATTTGTTCAAGTTTAATAATCACCTGATTTCTTTATCAGGGTAGAAGAGTATATCAAGACTGGAAAGGACAAAAATATCGTGGATCCCGATCCAAATGTTCTGTACACTAAGCGTAAACAGCAAATGTTGACTCCTCAAATGTTGATGCTAACAAACCGTTTGTCAAGTATCCCTCTGATGGATGGAGTACGTCTCTTGAAAAGATGCCTATGTTCACCAGGGCAGAAATGAACGAGCACATAACCAGATCAAGAAAAAGGATTTCCAATATTCAACATCATTCTGTGCCAACCTCCTTAAGAAAAGCGAAGACATTCCTCGAAGATGAATATCTAAGAGAAATAACTGCCGCAAGTGATGACCGCTGTTTTTATTTTCAAGCCAAATGCTGCCATAGCTTTAGAAAGAACGACCCCCCTCATCAATTAGAACTGGCGTTGTGTATTTTCAAGGGAGACGTTTTAGACAGCAGCTGTACGTGTGTCGCAGGAAAGGCTGGATTTTGCAACCATATTTCAGCCTTGATGTTCAAAATTTGCAAGTATACCCTCTTTGAAGCGAAGACTACCAAGGATCTATGTCAAGAAAAGGACGAGAATCCACAGTTGGCGTGTACATCTCAGCTTCAAAGATGGCACAAAAAAGGAGGCGGCGAAAACATAGTTCCCCAGCCAGTTATGGAGGTTTATGTTACCAAAACGAAGCTTGATGAGCCCAGCAGTTCAAGAGGATCAGGTGGTGTGAAATGTCTTCTTTATGAAGCCCGGAAGCAGCCACATTATGACCCCAAGAATGAGGCATCTTTTAAGACAGAACTTGCTACAATTGACCCAAACATGGGTTTTGCTCATTTGAAATGTCCTCATTCCAAGTTCCACGTGACCTCCCTTGAGGCATGCTCGGACCCAAATTTCTTTATGGAGAAGATAAGTGACACACAATGTAGACTTAAAAGGGACCATGCCTACTATGGCCAGGTCCAGGGACAAATGGGTGTGACGGGTGCGAAATGGTGCGATTTTATTGTGTACACTAGCAAAGGGATTTACATTTAACGAATCGCATTTGATCCTGTCTACTGGGGTAACCTTAAGAATGAACTCCTGCGGTATTATTTTGAACATTTCTTAAAATTTGCATCAGCAGATTTTCATAACTCTGCTTAAAGTACTTTAAGTAAAGTTTTTATTGCTTTACATATACTCTTTTTTCTAAGTTCATGGGCTAATTTTAATATTATTTAATCCTTTGAGCCCTAATATTAAATTTGTCCTTAAAATTTTGTGGCTTTATTGAAGAAATAAATTATTATTACCAAAAAATTAAGAAGGAAGTAGTGAAGAATTTCATATTTGATATTGGGGCTTGAAGGGTTAACTAATTTGTGCTCTAGTTGATGCAATAGGAGAACCAATTTATCAAGGTTCCATTGTGGCTTAATGTTCAAGTGGTTGTAGACATTTTTGCTAAATGCTAATAATTTATAATTTTAAAGGAATGCTGGTAGTCTCATTATTGTAAAACACCATGCATTATTCTACCAGTTTTTACTGTGGGAACTTTATAATCTGAAGACCAGAAGCACTGTTATTTGTTCTTTAATATCCTTTATCGGTGTGTTCTTTCCAACAAGTTTATTAAATATGGAAAGTAAATGTTCGAGGTTCGAGTCCAAGGAAAAAGCTATGGAACGGCATTCGGTCGCAGATCTCTCCTACCGCTGAGCGTCTTGATAAAATCATACTCTCTAAAATGCCTTGAGCAAACTTTAGTCCATTCCTGTATCTGAAAATACACTCCCTCATCTCTTCTAATAGCGTGAATCCATTTTTTCCGTCGAAGCGGATCATCTGGAAACTTAAAGTGAGAAACGTTTCTCCCATTTTCGTCCAGATAACCTTTCTTTGTACATTCAGGAACGCAGCAGCTCGTAGGCATTTTTCTTCCGATCAGCGATTGTTTAGCGATAAATTTCCCTTAGAGATAGTGAAGGTTTACCGAATTTCTACTTTTTTACGCCAAAGAAACTAAAACAACTCGACAAGCCAAATAAATTTGGAAGACATTTGCATGTTTTTCCACACGACCGCTTTCAGAGATAAATATAGTGGCCTTACTTGCCTCGCTCTGATGTGGTTCGTTTCCACTCCGCCCGAGCGGTCCGCCATTATGAAAGTCGTGGCCCTAATGTGAATGTCCAACAAAAAAGATGTGGATTTTCCAAGACACGCCTGAGACACCCCTCCCTTCCTTTTGATAGTCTTCCCTACCCCACCCGTACAATCTGTAGACGCGTACGCTCGGTCAATCACGGGACAACTAAACCAAAAGAGGTTGACCATATTCTGCGAAGCGCTTGTGGGAGTCCCGCCATAATTTCTACATAAACGAACATTTAAATAATATGGAACGCGACAGAAAGTAGGAATGATACACTACCCGGTACAAAAACCCGAAATAAAAAACCCATTGGGACAAAAAGACGTACTCCTCGATCGAATGCAGTGCATCGATTAAAGCTTTAGACTAACTTAGGAACTAATGATAAGTCAGGAGCCGATCAAATGGAGCAGCCATCTCTCATACAAGCCCTTGGAGTCAACCCTTTCCCGAGTAGATTTATAATTAGAACGGTTCCCAGGGGAAACCTCGCGCGCCGACGGTGGGAAGAGCCAATCACAACAACGAAATGACACTGCTATTGTACTTCACCAAAGAGCAGGAAATTTGGTGTTGACAGGCCAGACACAATCATAAGCTAGTGAAACGTGACTTTAGCGTTTTCATCCCTGGGAGATTTTCTTTCTTTTCTTTCTAGTGGGTAGATTATACTGTGGAGAGTTTTATACTCTTAATCTTAATTTTGGTTGCTTGTCTCACATCAGGAGGCCATGAAGCTGGTCTGTTACATGCATAATAATTAACTACTACCTGCAGTCTGTAGTTCTGACAGGATTCGTTTTCTTTAGCCAATTTTTTTGAGCGTTTAGGTTCTCATTTCGGCTAAATGACTCAATATTAATCAAATTTCTAGATTTTCAAGGTTTTTTTTTCCGAAATACGTTTATCTGAATAAATACTAGTAGTCCTTGTGGTTGTTTTGTCCGTCAGCTAGTGTGATGATTCCCCGCTATGTTTTGTAACGTTGGGCCCAGCCATTGTTTTCTCGCCAAAAAGTGATCTACAGATGCGAATTCGGAGGAAAGAATTGAGCCTAAACTTCTACATTAACTGCTGAGAATTGTCCTGTTAGTCAGTCATAATTCTTTTGGCGCAGGTACAATCCATTTTGTTTTTCTTGAGATAAGTGGGTCTTTGGACTTGAGTGCGATGTCACAAATTCCTCCGTTAGCAAATTATTCACGGTCAAGCAACTGTTGTCTTCGGTTCAACTTTTTAAGAGCCAGTTTTATCAGGCAACTCTTATGGTGATACAAGTAAGTTGTAAAGGAAGACTGCAATTTCTCAAATTTCGGAACTGAAGCATTCCTCGTTAGTTGCTACTTAGGTCATCGCTTTTTGACAAAAATCAAATGATCCTGGCACTTTTTCGGCGCTGATCATTGAAAAGTTGCAAATCGTCCCCGGAACGCTTAATCGTCGATTCATTTCAAGGTGCATGCTTAAATGTGGGATGTATGGCGGAAAAAAAAAAAAAAAAAAAAAAAAAAAAACACTCGCAAAGATAACCTTTCCGTGATCCTCAGTTCGCTGCCTTTGTCCCATCGCTTCATGCTCAGTCTCAGTCTCAATCGGGTAATTCATTAACTTTTATTTCATGACATCCAGATCCCAGCAGCTGTAAAATTGTAAAAATGGACGTATAGTAAAAAAGGAAAACGGTCGAAGGACGGACTTCTGAGCTCGACTTCATCCAACTTCATTTTTTTCACGGTGACATACGAGACTCACGGAAATATGACACTTTTCGCGGGAAACAAGCCGTTCTATTTATAAATTTACTCGGGAAAGGGTTGACTCAAGAAATTAATGGAGATCGAGGCTCCATTTGATGGGCTCCTGGATAAGTTTAATTTCGTTAGGGACAAGACAACAGCTGTCCAAAAGACTAGATCGCCAAAAACGCTTCTACGTCAATATTTATACAAATTTTCATAGCGTATAATCAAATGTAGTTACGTAGCCTCTATTAAAAGACTGAGTAATTAAGAACAAAAGGTTGATACAAATGTGAAAAGAATGCTTCGAACCGTAATGAAACAGCTTTCCAACTACGCGTTGTTACGTTGAAAAGCATTTATTCGTCTCCTTAGCGTCTGTACGGGGGGACAGTTACCGATATAGGTTTATGATTTCTGTGGCATAAATAAATTTCTGTCGCATTTGATTGTACCTACAGAGAAATTTGCGCTTTGTAATTGTTTTAATTAATATATTATGTAGGCCGATTTTCAATAGACGATACGATTTGTCGACGCAATTAATTTGTTGCCAGTTTAGGCTGTTACGTTATATGACAGACACCCTTTAGACTAGTTGTTGCTCAGGGTATCAGAATTTCTACAAAGGTAAAAAAACCTCGATTGCAAAACAGGAAGACAGCAGTCATTTCTCTGCTATTGCAGACTTTGTCACGTCAACTGGTCGTCACAAATGCAGGGGCTACTGGATGATATTTTGAAATTCTGGCAAGAGTACGGTCGAACACTACACACTTTCCAAGATAAAGGGGACTCTGATTATTAAGGATCTAAAATCTCCCCTAATTAAAAATGCTAGAAGTGAAAAACTTTCCCTTTACTAGTTTTACGTTTCCATACTTAGTTTATATGCAAATTTCCTGCCATGTGTTACGTGTGAGGAAGCTTTGGCATTAGCATATAGGACGCTGTTTCTTTTCTAACAGGAAATAATAACAGCCCTATTAACATAAGGCAATCAATTTTAAAATCTACGTCCTTGTCAGTGTTTTCACGGGAGAGAGCACAAGAGAGCTTTCTGACCGCGATTGTGTTCCCTGCTCGTTCCTTGTTTCTCCGAGCTAATCAGGGGCACCTAACGACGGTTTTCTGACTGTAAAATATCTCTTCGGAGAAACAATTATTGCCTAGAATTTTCTATAGCTTGAGGACAACTAAAAATTTCTAAATGATTGTCATTTTCACTATGCAATCTCTGTCGGATTCGTGCAAATCAGAGATTTGACGAAATTTTTTATGGCTTTATTTAAAATGATTGTTGATTTTCACGTTATAATACCAGTTTTTAATACTATAGGTCAGTGTGTATGTGCACTTATTTACTATGTAGTTACTTAATACTCTGGTAGACTGAAACTGTCTATAACATATAATTATTTAAGTTAATGGTTCGAAAAAGAAAATAAAAACAGATAAAAGGGAAAAAAAAAAGCCTGAATCGTTGAATGTTGCGGGATTGTCTTCCCTGCTTTGCTGTTTTGCCCTTCTGTGAAAGCTCTTCTTAGTGAAATCTTCCATCCGGTGACACACATGACTGAAAGTGTTTATGTAAAGATACTGGAATTTTACTAGGGTGAGTCATCAACATTTTATAATTAATCCTTTTCAAACAACTCGAATGAACTTCTAAGGCTCCCTGTTCCCGAGTATATTAGTCTCTAACCAACGTTCTGTTTACTAACGTAAGTGCCGACATTCACGAATATATAAATGCGATGTCATTATCCACTTCCGGTTTCAGTTGACAGGGTAGCCAAACAAATCTTGCTCCGTGATAGTACTGAACGTCTCTTAACTGCATTATGAAATTCTTTACAAGGTTCAACAAGTTAACAAGCTAAACTTTTTAACTTTTTTATAAAAAATCTTAATACATTGTATGTATTAAAAGTTAAAGCCAAAATAATTTGTCCATTTTTAACATCTCAGATGTCACGTATAACAATGGACAGGGTAACACAATCAAATTTAAAAATTTAAATTTCAGTACTTTTACTCTACACAGTATCTGGCTAGAATTTTTATCATAAGCCTGAATCGTTGAAGGTTGCGGGATTGTCTTCCCTGCTTCGCTGTTTTTCCCTTCCGTGTGAAACCTCCTCTTAGTGAAATCTTCCATCCAGTGACACACATGACTATAAGTGTTTATGTAAAGATACTGGAATTTTACTGTAGCATGACTCATCAACATTTTAATCCTTTTCTCACAACTCGAATGAACTTCTAAGGCTTCCTGTTCCCGAGTATATTAGACTCTAACCAACTTTCCGTTTACTAACGTAAGTGCCGACATTCACGAACATCAATAGGATGTCATTATCACTTAAGTTTCAATCATTGTTGAGAGTGTGGCCAAACAAATCCTGCTCAGTGATAGTACTGAAAGTCTCTACTGTATTATGAAATTCTTTACAACGTTCAACAAGTTAACAAGCTAAACTTTTTCACTTTTTTTAAAAAATATCTTAATACATTGTATGTATTAAAGTTAATGCCAAAATATTTTGTCCATTTTTAACATGTCAGATGTCACGTATAACAATGGCAGGCAGGGTAACACAATCAAATTTAAAAATTTAAATTTCAGTACTTTTACTCTACACAGCATCTGGCTGCAATGCCAGAAGCCAATCAAATCTCCCCATTTATCGTTTTTTTCCAAAATACAGAAATTGTCATTCACATGATAAATAGATAAACACGTCAGATGTGAGGAAGGAACATTCAATGACATAAATGAATAACGTCACATGACAAAAAATCCTAAAACGTTTGTGTTCCTGAGATTAGTTTTTGACGGCAATAATAAGAGCTTCAGCGCAAAGAAAGTATTCATAGCTTTCTCCTCACTGAAGGATGAATTTACTGACAAGTCTACTCAGCAGTATGTCTTTCATGATTTTTCTGCTTTTGTCAACATTGTTTATTCCATCTTCCGTAGCACAACTTGATGTTACAAAATTTAGTAAGACGCTTTCTACACTAGCAAGGGACGGTCTCGGAACAGCCACATTACAAGTAAGTCATCTTCCAAATACTTTGCTTCTTTCTTTTTTTCTTTTTTTACTTAGTCATTTAAAAGTTCACTTCAAGTTCTCTTGTATTATACAGACGACCCCTCGATTAATACGGACTCATTCATTCTTATGGACAGTTCTCTTTGTCCCAGGGGAAAGCACTTACATTTTTCTAAATTCCCGCCAATCCATATAACCTCGTATTTTAGTTTGATCACATATACATGTTAGGTGGAGTGACCTGCCACATGTTACTTCACCTATCTAGGGTCCCCCTCCTCCATGTAAACAGGCCCTTACCGACACCCGTTTATTCAGTTATGTGGACAACGGACACTTGTTTCTTAGTGCCAATGAACAGATTCTCATAGAATCCGGTAAACCTCGTTAATGCAGACACCTGTCAACTGCGTGTTAAACCTTTCCTTTTTCAAAATGATAATAGTAAACAAATAAGAACAATAAAATTTAGAGCGTTCAAGTGACAGCATGTTCAGTGATGTTCCCAGCGCTACAGTGCACTGAATAGGAACATAGACGTCACTTTCAGAGTATGTTGGCATGTTGAGTAATGTAAAAATGAGCGCTTGTGAGCGCTCCATGGACATAGCTCCGCGGAATGACGGTTTGGTGAAGGTAAGACTTGTTTAATCTGACGATGCTGATGTTCTCTTTTACAGTATATCTTTAACTTGTACAAGAAAAAGGTGTATTTGTTTTTACTAGATAACATGATCCGTTTTCAGAAACCCCGGTTATTCACTTTAGAACTCTCATCCTCTCAGTGTCCGTATTAAATTGAATCACTAACCTTAAATTTTCTACAAGGTGATCCCTAAGTTAGAGTAGAAATTCTTTTATATACCTAGCTTGGGAGTAGCCTCACTTGTGCGAATTCGGGGAAAGTTTTGAAATTCATTTTTTCCTAGCTCCGCCGCTAATATATATACCTGACTAGCAAGTTCAGAAACCCTCAGATCTGAAAGTCTTCACCTAAACGTGTTCAACGTCGTATTAAAGACCCGAGCCTTTAGGCGAGTTGAAATTTTAGATAATTTTGAAATATCACGAGTGATATTTATGTCAAATATCACGTACAAATCATGCTATTATTTGTTTATACTACTACCCGCAAAAGGTTTGTAATTTTTACCTGTAGGTATTTCAAATAAAGCTGAAATACCACTGCTCTAAGCCAATCAAACTGCAGAAATTTTCCATGTAGTAGTATGACGTTAGAAACAGACGACGTGTTACACGGGACGATTTTAAGCACAGGAAAGGAAGTGAAAAGGGTTCTACAAAGGCGCTGTGCGGAAGATTGACGTCATGTATGTTACAGGAAACGACCTTGAGCAGTATTTGTGATTTGGCGTTGTTAGTTTTTGAAAATTGTGCAGAAAATCGTCTTAAAACCTTGTTTAAAGTCTTAAAATAGCCGGCTTAGTAATACCAGTAAGCGATTGTTAAAAACGCGACGTTTTCTTTATCTAAAGAAAAGGATTTCCTTGAATCAATGACTAAGCCCAATCGTGATTGGGCACTAGCCATTGTGGCATCACACGAACGTTAGCGTTAGGCCTTCAAAAGCGCGAACATGAAAAAAGGTAACAATAACAATAATAATAATAATAATAATAATAATAATAATAATAATATAAAATAATAATAAGAGTGACTGGGAAATGAGGCACGGCACGTAGGTTTGCGTTGTTCTTCGGGGACTTTGCTAAGTTTATGAACTCCCATTTATATAAGGGTTGTGACTAGAATGGATAATCAGGTTGGACACCTTATGTTTATTACACAACGCTATACTCAATACCACTCTATGCTAGATTTAAGCGAATTTATTGGGCACATTTTTGAGAAAAGTGGGGACATCAGAGTAGGAGACAGTTGTGCAAGGAAAAGAGTTGAATACAGGGTTTGGCACCGAAGTACAGCGATTAGGGGTAAGCACTGTTTAAGAAACAGTTAGCTTTCAATAATGCATTGATCAATGCCACGTAAAGTACGTTAAAATTATCCGGTGTCGTCAGTTAGCCCTTGATGGTGTAGTGGATACGGATGTGGATTATACATCAAATGACGCGGGTTCAATGAAGTCCTACATACTACCGACTGTTTTCTTCTGTTTTCTTTCTTCTCTTATTTACTACTTTAAGTTATAAGACTTCTATCATTTATTTTGAGTGAAGATGACAATCTGACTTTGGGGTATCCATTCTAACCTTTATATAAGTAGCAAGTGATACGAACATAGCCCTGTAGGAAAAACTGAGAATGAAGAAGTGAAAATATTATGGGATTTTCTAAACAAACTGAACAAGACATGAAACAAATCAGGTTAAATGTCCACGAAAAAAAACGACAACATTGCCCACACCATAAAATTTAATGCGCTTCTTAGCTGGAGATCACCAACTATCTATAACTAAGAACCTTCAAAGTTAAGAGAGAAAGAGAAAAACAGTTAAAAGATCTTAAATATCAAGACCTCGCTATCGTGAAATACGGCTTACAGAGAACAAAGAGATAGTTGAGCCTTTGGATCCATTAAGTGGCCACTTATTAGGCTGCAACCCTTTATTAAGCGGCCAGTAATCAAGTATACCTGGAGTCGTTGTGGAAGCTTTGAGAGAACCGAAAAAATTAATAAGTAGTCATTTGAAGGAGTTAGGAATTCCAAAGAGTGTTAGTACTTTGCAAAAGTCTGCTCTTCTTGGCATCTTGAGAAAGGTCCATGAAGTCTAAGTTTTCGAGACTGGATCAGACTAAAAATGTAACATTTTGTTCCCGGGACAATGAACACTTGATGATCATAATAATAATACTAATAATAATCATAATCATAATCATAATAAATAGATAAACCCTGTCTCTTATATTTAAAATGTTCATCGTTCTGTTAGTATGTATTACGACTAAGCAATATCCAGTTACAGCCTGAGAGACTTACTTATTAGTAGACTTACTACTTTCACGTAAATGGACAATTCACCCGTTGCAAACGACCTAATTTTTCTTAAATTAATTTTTCTAAATTAATAGATATAATATCATGTACATGTGACAAAATTTTCTCGGAGAAGAAACCGGCTACCTGCTATAGTCTCTCTCTATACAAAAGTACATGAATACGTAATGCCAAGGGCCATGAACCAGCATAGCATTATGCGGTAGTAAAAATATACAACCATCCCCCGAAGGGGAATAGAGGTATATATCTAGCGTTATGCTGCTAACCTGAAGGAGGGTAGTTGATTTTCGATGTTTTGGTAAGAATGGAGAGGTAACTTTAATTTGTAAATAATGGACGTCACTTAGTAACCGGTTTGTTTACGCTTCACTATAACGGTGTGTCGAGGAGTTGTAGAGTGCCTTTTCGCACGATTTTTTAACCAAGACATTGAAAAAATAATTCCTATACCTACCAATAGATACCAAGAAGCTGGAATTTCTCCTCTTTCTTAGATTTTTTTATAACTACTTCATTAGACGCGAAAATACCGGGCCTCGAGAACTGTCGCAAAACGGGACGCCATATTGACGCCCATCCCAATATATTCCCGGTTACTGTAGCCAACGCGCGAAAACTACAATCCACTTGTTTAGAAAATACTAATAATATAACCACTATGGTTGCACTGCAGTGGTTTTATAAGTTGTGTTGTATATTTTCAACTTCATGTCCCTTTGTAACTTGAACTTTGCCATATGAGCTCTCATTTCTTTAACTGTTTTAGTACAATACTCACGGTATTGTATTTTAAATTTCCAGGACGCGTTTGACAATTTGCAGTTCATTGCGAGACCTGTGAATGGTAGTACAGCTATTCCTATCTTGGCTGCAAGCATTGCCAACAAGTTTAAAGAGCGGTTCAAGGTTGTACGAGAACTTAAATTAGCCGTGGAAAGTTCTTGGACTGCAGCACCTGAACGAACACCAACACAATGCTGCCAGGTTAAAAATTCTGGTCAATCAGAATACGATTCAAGATTTCGTTCAAAAGTCGACCTTTCACGAATATGCGTCAAGGTATCTAAAAATGCTCCAGCTTCTCCCACCCATGTTGCGGATTCTGTGGTGGAGAAAATGAAGAAGATTTCTCAAGATTACCCCGTTCTGAAATGGCAGTACTTTGCCTCTGAACAAGGTGTGTTGTCGAGCTTTCCAGCGTTGGAAGATACCGCAGATTGTGGGTCTTATGATCCTCGATTTAGACCTTTTTACGTGGAAACAGCCACGCCTGAACCAAAAGATGTTGTTCTAGTTATTGATCACAGTGGTTCGATGAGTGGTTCACGCATGATAGTCGCGAAGGAAGCTGCAAAAACTGTCCTGAGAACGATGAATCCAAGGGACAGGGTAAGTATTTTCCAACGTTCCGACCGTACGTGCGCAGATGTAGGATAAAATACCAGGTTAACTGAACGTAAAGCATTTGCAAGAACGGCAGGATCATCAAAACATACTTTGAAGGCCATATTAACTCTGAAATAGTGCAAGGGTATTATTTTTCTCTGCCTCGAAAATGTTCGCATTAATTTTGATAAGATATGGTCCTACTATGACTGTAAGCTTAGCGTCAATGTAAGCCTGGTGTGACGTAATTACATAGCTGATTTCGTTTTAAGTTCGTAATGTCCCATTAGTCGCCCCACGTAAGGAAATCCAAGACAGTCTTTGATTCTGGATCTAATTTCCATGGATTCCGGATTCCGGGTGCTGGATTCCAGTCTTTTTCAGTAAAGCTTGGATTCTGGATTCCATTTCCTAGTAGGATTCCGGATTCCTTGAGCTATAGTCTTGATTCCAAAGCCCAGGATTCTGGATTCTACGTGCCAAAATTTTCTCAGATTCCGGAATCCGGATTCCCTTACATGGGGCGATACTATAGCGACTACATTTAGAATTCATTATTAAATCAAAGTTATGCGCTCAGTTGATAGGTAACCCAGTGTGTAGCAAATTTTCGGAAAGATAAGAATCTAGTTCCACACGTTAGAGTTACTTCGTAAGACGCAAAAGGCGAGTACAGTGGATCCTGCATTAAGTGGACCCTATGTTGGCGGACCGAAAATACTTGTTTGTGTTTGCTTAATCGGAAACAGTGAAAATATGGAGTGGGGAGACGGGTGAAGAGGCCGATTTCCATGGTAATACTTTGAAGCAAAATATGCTTAAGATGAATTTACCTTTTGCGTCATAAGTTGAGTAAAGATCTAACAGTCGAGGGTCATAAGTTTGTTGTACATTTAGGTTTTATTAACAGGGCAAAATTTGTGTCGTAGAGTTACGCTAAGCACCTCGTCGCATGCAACAAAGTTTTCCCCCATGCTGCTGGTTCCTATGGCAAAAAAGTAAGAAGGCAGAAGTTTCGAATGTTTGAATGTCATTGCCTCTACTGCCCCCCCCCCCCCCCCCCCCCCCAAAAAAAATGATAGATGGATACCTAGGCCGGCTTAGTCTTGCCGTTGTCACTCTCAAGTGGCGGGCTAATGCCACGACATAATGCAATGATGCGCTAAGTCATTTTTTCCACCAACATCTAGGAAAGGCGGTGCTAATATGTTTGCTTGGTCTCTTTTATTAGATTGGAATTGTAAAGTTCAATGGAGAAGCCTCCACCCCAGTCGAATATGATGGCGATGGAAGGGGCTGTCATAGCCAACGTTTAGCTGATGCTACGCCAATCAACATTAAATACTTGGAAGAATACGTAGAAACTATCTTTGCTGACGGTAAGGTTAAAATTATTTGAGAGCAATTCAAAATAAGATTTAAAGACAAAAAAATTCTGCCTCTTTCCGTGTCTCTTTACGTTCACATGTAATTCGTTTAGTTTTTAATGGAATAAGCGGACAAATGCTATTAGGAGATGATGATGATGATGATGACGATGATATAGGGAGCTTCAACACCCACGACGTCGAAGGCAATGCCAGAACATCGACAAACAGACTAGGTTTTACAATTCCTGCTTGGCCCTATGCATCACACTTTGTTGGAAAATTTTCTATGAGGTCCCACCTCACAACTACGATGCGAAACTTCATGCATATTTCGTCAGCGACAAATTTTTCTTTCTCTTTCTCTTTTTGAACTTAGATATATTCTTTAAGGTTTAACTCCCAGCTATGCTCCTTATCCTCCTTTAAGTTTAAAACACGAATGCAAATTCCCTTTTTTGTTGGCGTTTCTGCTGCTGTTGTCGTCATAGTTGCTTAAGTTCTCGCGTGCGTTCAAAATCCCATTCCAGTTTTGACGTTTTTTTAAAATTCAGTCTTTCCAAGTCGGTGAGGTGAACGAAGGGGTACTTATTCTGTCTTCTCTCCCATTCCACAGTTGATATAGTCTGGTGAATCCTTTCATTTTGAAGATTCAATTAAAAAAAAAAGATTTATATTAACAATAAACAATTGATAATACAATATAACAAATCTATAGGTGAGCAGATTAACAACAAAACTAGGGAATACTACCTATATATTCCTATATTGGGAGACTCTTCCCGAAAGGTTTACCTTCTTCAGGCTTCAGCTATATGAAAGGGTACTGATATCAGTGGTTGAAGTATATGAAAGGGTGGGAAAATGTGTCATTTCGAGCTGTAAAAAGGCCCAAAAGGGTTAAAAGATGTATTTTATGCCTGTGAAAGAGTCAAGAAAAAGTTATGGTTCGGTGATTTATTCCTATTGGAAAGACAGTTTACTTAAAACAGGATGGAAGGGATACAAACTTCCAGTAAACTAGGTATGTGGAAGGTGTATCAGCAGAAGGTGCACGAAAGGGATCATACTTTTTCCGTCAAAAATGGAATATACAATCAGAAGGAGTTGGACTTCGGACCAAAAATCCCCATGTAAAACTTTCTTGAGTACAATCCCCACCCCCCACCCCGTCCTCCGGGACGACAAGTGCAGGGAAAACCAGTCTATGGGGTTGAATTGTTTTCCGTTTGACGCTACAAGTCTCCCTACTAATTTTTTTTTCTGTTCCTAGGAGGCACTGATTATAGTAAGGCATTCATTAAAGCGTTCGATCTGTTCAATGGCACATCTGACATAAGCGGTTCTTCCAGGAAAAAGGTTATCATCTTTCTTACGGATGGCAGACCAAATGATAATGAAAAAACAATATTGCAAACAATAAAAACAAAGAATGCGCAGCTGAATAATGAGGTGGTGATCATGACTTATGGAATGCTGACGAACTTGCCAATTCTGCGTTACATTGCTGAACAGGAAGGTCTTGGTGTCAGAAAGCCATCTGATGTCACTGTAAGAATACCCTAATCATTTCAGTCTGCTTTTAGTTTTTAGTTATCTATATTCTTAATCTTGGGAACAGTTCCTGACTAGTCATTTCAGGTATTTACAGTAGCAACTTAAATAAATGATTTCTGAACGCTAAATAAGACAATTGATGTTGAGATATATGAACTTTGTTACTGCATTCACGGCCCAGGGGAAGGGGGGGCATTCAAGGGAAAGCGATTTTGGGTAAAGGTGTTTCGCCAAGGCCTTTAAGACCTGAAATGTTCATTTCACAACACCCCATTAAGTTTTGTATAGAGAATAAAGTGATTTTTTAAAGTGCTATCACAGCGATAGCTCTTTTTGGAAAACTAACAAAAAAAATAAAATTGTGAGTACCACAAGCAGTTCGCTTGTTGCTCGTATTATAACGACCGTGTTGACGCCTTTGAAAATAAGTGCATGCATTATCCATGATAATCGCTAATACCGTCTGCTGACGGACACCGTAGAAACAGCGATTCAGTTGTTAAGTTTTCCATTGCTTATCCCTTCTAAGAAGAGTAGAGGAGATGCTGGGGTAATGTTTGCTTATTTGCCTTTTTTGTCGTTTGGTATTCAAATAATGGCAAAAAAGTATGAGCCTCTAGCTAGGTTGCTATCAACTTTTGAGATACATGTACTGGTATACCTTTACCACAGCAATAACTGATGTTATTTTTCTTTAAGGCTGGAAAATTTACATATGTGTCAAACACAAACACCTTGCGGAATGACATGGCAACCTATTACGACTTTTTTTCGTCAAAGACAATTCGCAATGAACCAATCATATCCATTCCTTACGTTGACGCTTTTGGCACAGGTAAGAAACGCTATGATGTAGTTTACAGGTTTACAACTTCGAACTTCTTACATACCACAGGACACTCTTAAGTTAGCTCGTGTAACTGACAATTGTTGGACAACTAAAGCTGTAAATTGGGCTAAGACGTCATAGTGGAGCTCTTGCGCCCTCGAAGCGCGGCCAACAAAGCACCATGAATAACAAAATTTGGTTATCTGTGCATCCAGGAAATACTTGGTTGTGACCAATTCGTCTGTCATTACGTCCGTCATTCATGTTAGCGCATGTAACTATAAGAGCATGTGAAATCTCACACTTACTACATACTAACTCATGTAGTTGACGTGTTTTTTAAGTCCTCTGCAGACCAGTTATTTGTTTTCAAATGATAACAGGTTCAGGTCGTTTTTTTTTTCAGAAGGAATTCAGTTTTCGTCTTTCTTATGGCGAAAGTTGGATAACCTCAGAAAGAAATTAATTTCTTAATTTTTTATCTACAATATATATTTAGATGTCAACATATATGCACACTTGCTAGTATTCCTATAATTTCCTACTTTTATGGTGTCTCATTGGTTTTCCTATTCCTACAGGTCTGTTAACTTCGATAACACTGCCATGTTATCATCAAGGAAAATTCATCGGTGTTGTTGGGACAGATATTAGCATGGCAGATCTTCTGTCTGAAGTTACATATTTTCAAAGAGGTCAGCGAAGTTATGCCTGGATGGCGGATAGTTCTGGAAGGACCATGATGCACCCTCTTCTCCCAGCCCCTTCAGACGTCTACGGTGACCCAGTTTTTATGGACATTACAGCTTTGGAACCAGAACCTGAATTTAATGAGATTTTCAACTCTATCAAAGTGTAAGTGCTTTCTAGAGTTAGTGCCGAGAAAACTACTTATTCTTAGGGGTACGAGAGGAATCCATTAACTTTTATATCCATTACGCTTTCTATTATGTTATTTTTCGCTCTGATAGCGGTGGATCCGGGGTAAAGTCATTTACGTCAAAGCGGTTTCTTGCTCGTGGTGGGAAAATCAAGGAAGGAGTTTCAGTTTTAGATGTACCATCTACGTACTTCTGGAGAGCAGTTGAAAAAACCAAATTCACCGTTGGAATTGTGGTGGCAGATGGCGATAAGGATGAAACACTCTCAACTCAAAGTATTCCTTCAGGTAAGTACATTACCATATTATCAACATACAAGTAAAGTTCTAAATATAAAGGAAGACTGATGTTTCGTGTTCATCGATAAAAAGACGAGTTTGTAGAATCGGGAAAATTGAATATAGATCTTGATGACAGGGAACGCAATCAGCCATCAGTTGTATTAGATTTCTCAATAAGTAGAGTATAAAACCGTCTTTAAGGAGTAGGTAAAATACGTTCTAAATGGAAGAGACGGAAGGAGATGGCGCAAGACTGCTTAGAGGAGGCCTTACCTTCGCTTTATCTTCGTTTCGTCTTGCCTTTCCCCATTCTCCACGGAAATGCATTCTGCTGAATAAGTTCTCCTCAAATGAACTTCTCCTTAGCCTGACAATCTCCGTCGTCATCGTTATAACTATCGTCTCTATTGTTGTCATCATTAGCATGACTTATCGCATTGAACATTCTTGGTTGCGCAAGACGAGAGGAGACCGCAAGCCTAATTTTGCGTGGTGTTTCTGTGCTAAATAAACCTTTCCCGCATTCCTGCTAACAAAGGTACCAAATCAGGAGATGTGATTCGTATGAAACTGTCCACCAAAGCTTAGTCCTCATTTCTTCATGTTTTCGAGGTTTGTTCGTATGCTTCTTTGTCACACAAATTTAACTGGTATTTCATAAAAGAGGCACAGAAAAAAAGTCAGCAAAGGGCTCGCGTTTTTTCAGTCTTAACGTCCTTAATAGTACTTCAAGAAATTTTGTCACAAGAATCATAAGTACTTGTTGCGTTGAACTAGCTTTAACTTTTTCATCTTAATTTTTATTGTAATTTGCTTTTGCTTCCTTAATTTATTTTCAGATTTTAAATTTCTCTATCATCGTTTGGATTTAGTAAGGCCGGATGAACCCTGCGCTCATTTTACTAGATATGCAGCTAAAGGTAAGTTAAACGAAATAATGAATAAACAAAAACTTGATTGCTGATAAACTACTGCGAAGTGAAAACTTCCTGAAAAATATTTTCCTATGGAACCTTTTATGAACTTGGCAATAATGGTGTTATTGTTTTTGGGAAAGAATTAAAGAGAAACTTCACGAGACCGATCACAGTGGCGATCGTTTAAGTGGGAATATTCAAGCTTTTTCAAATTTCTTGTATTTCTGTAAAAACTACTGACATGAACTTAATCCATGCCTAGCGCTAAACATACAAAAAAAAAAGGGATACCATGATCTGTGCGATAGCAATCGACTAAATATGAGGCAGCTGCAAGGTTATCCCGCGTCCAGTCCAGCATTAAGTGATCGAATTTTCCCTCCTGTAATGCTTGTACACCCATTTTTATAATTACGTCTTGTTACGTGGCTGCCCCAGTTGTTAGAAAGGTGAATAATGCTATCCACCGGAAGATTACCATCCACCGCATAAATCATTATCCAAAAGATAAGTACTTGGAGAAAACCAGTTGCTTTATCTACTGGATAAATATGACGTTTACTTATTCACCTTTTGAATAACTGGGGCCTGCTTTTTTTCGTTTCTGTTGTTGTTTAATTTTTTAACGACGCGCGTTGTTATCTTTTTCTCCCAGGTCACAAGATATCAAACAATAAAATTTTTTATCCGCCAAGAGTCTTTGAGCGGGCAACATTGTAAAATCTATGACTTGTGATGTTAACGGTGTACTGTTCCCACGATATGTTGTCCGCTCGTGAAGATCTAACTACTTTCAAAGTTCCGTTCAGTAAGCCATGCTTTGAAACTTCTAACCTAAACCTTTTACTCATTTAAAGGAATAACTGTTGTGAAGTTTGGTGCTGAGGCCTTCGAAGACCCCTATTCCTACTTAGGTTTGGACGAGACGGTGTCCCGAGTGAAGTCATACAAATCGTACATGACAAGTTCAAGCGCGATTAATCCTGGGTTCAAACTAGGCGTTAGAGACACAGTGCTGGTTTCAAGCAAGGTCGATGACATTTGGTTACGCGAAAAGGCGGACTATACAAAGTACTTGGTGTGGAGATATTTTGGCACAGCCAACGGTGTGTTTAGACTAACACCTGGGACATTAATTGCAAAATCATTTGATCCAACGAAACGACCATGGTAATACGATTACTTTAGTCCTCCCTCCTCAAAACTAGGTCTACTTCTAGAGATCTTGGTACTATTAACAAGTTATATTATTTTGGTACAAAGAGCTGTGATTATTTCATTTTTACTTTCATGTTATGATAAACACATGTTAGCAAACTCTAATTGACAGTCAGATATAAAGCCATTTTTTAAAATGGCTTAACCTCATACAGTTTATGGCGATAAATCCGACTGTCATTTAGAGTTTGCCAAAATGTGTCTATCACAACATAAACAACTCCTAAAGAGAAGACGCCTAGTTAATTTGAAGGATTTAGGATTAGCACGGGATACTGCGCGGCCTTCTGTGCGGGAGGTCCTGAGTTCGATTCCCAGTTGCGACTTCAAATCCTGCCTTCTGGCTTGTTTCCTTTCCGTATAGCTTTAAAAACACTGATGGAGAGAGAGAGAGGGTGGTGGGGGGAGTGAAGTGAGCGCATCGTGGGCCGCAGCTCTGTTACGGTCAAATGACTATTTCGAGCTATAGACGTAAAAGAAGAACTCTTTACCCTTTAAATAATCGCAGACTTTGACTTTCCCACCCTCCCCATCCGTTGTAGACCTTAAGGTAATAAACGCACCTTTGACGCGAAATAATGTGCAGGACGATACTTCGGCTTTAGACTAACTGGATATGTTTTTACTTTTACAATAGGTACCATGCCGCGCTCAGAAACACGGGGCGTGTCTCTTTGTCCACTCCTTACATAGACGCATTTGGATCAGGAGTAGTTATAACCGCTTCGCATACTGTATACCGCGGTGAAGCTACTCACAAACACAGCGCAAATGACCAGGTCGTTGGTGTTATGGGTGCAGACTTTCCTTTGTCTTATTTTCATAAGTAAGTTAATATTTTGCTCTTTTTTCTGGGTGTGTGTTTTTTATGTCAACTAGAAAATTTGTGTAGGTGATTTATCTTTTTTTACACTGTCGTGGCAGAGCCAATAAGGCCTTTTGTTAAGAATACCTTTTGTCGCGAAGATAATGTGGCGTTTACCACCAGACTTTCACAAGCATACTAAATTAAAATACATATTTCCCGTCAGACTCCTAACGGACACTTTTCCCAGCTGCAAAGATGGCAACTACGAATGCTTTGTGTTAGACGGAGCTGGTTTTCTCGTCATGCACAAAGACTTTTTGTCGCCAGACATTAAAGCAAAAGATCTGGAGTACGTCCACATAACAGCAAAAGAAAAAGAGATAGCCGAGGACCTTTTAAAGAAAGGACATTTAGTAAAGAAAAAATGTAGACACTTGGAAAAAATTCAAACGGAAAATTTCTACGAGCTGAGCATCCCGTTTCGAGGCCTCAACACACTGACAACAGGACAGCGATGTAGGCAATACCAGCTTGCTAAAGTTGGTGGAAGTAATGCATTTTTAGGTAAGTTTTCTCTGGAAAGTTAAGTGATCTTGAGTAAAATTGTCATTTTACTTTAGAGAGATGATATTCGAAGTAAGAAAACCTGGAAGCATAAGGGGCTGGTGAACACTTAATATTTGCCTTCATCGTGAATGTCGTTCTCGTCTAGGTATCAAAAAGCGGGATGATTCCTGTTCATCTGGAAGTTGCATCACGTGCGGAACCAACAGAGAATGCTCCAATCCACCGGTGTCAAGTTGCGAGTGTCCATGCATTTCAAGGCTTGACTTTCGTTACTGCAGAAATGAATTCCCAGCCAGCAGGTAAGCACATTTCAAAAAATAAGACAATCACGTTGACGATTATTTTACACACTAGCTTTATTGACTTTTAATGGTTAAAGGAGCTGTGTCACGAAATTCAGCCAAATTATGAAATTACAAAATGTCCGTTAAATTAAGAGAAACATAAAAATAACCGCTTAAAACTTTACAGGAAGGTTAAAATAGCATAACAGAAACAACAGATGCCACGGATGGGCAAAACCGAAAAAGACTGAAACGGATTGAAATAGCCCATTTTATAGTTGCAGATGAAAATGAGGCTGGAGTTGACCTTGTTTTGATACAGCCCTTCCTGCTTTATTATGTAAATCAGGGGCGGATCTAGGGGGGGGGTGCAGGGGGTGCGCACCCCCCCCCCCCCCTGAGATGACCTGCGGTTTTCTAATACAACTGGTATTCTGCAAAAAAAAACTATGTGGTTTATTGGTGTTGAAGTAGAGCAAGAGACGAGAGCACCCCCTCCTAAAAAAAATCATGGATCCGCCCCTGTAAATCATGTCTTTCTTATGCTAACTAATATTTTTTAAGCAAAATTTACATTATAAAAGGAATGAGGTTTGTATCAAAACGAGGTCAACCTCAGCCTCACGTTCTCTCAAAGGCTAGGGCACCAAGCCAACAACTGTAAAATGGCCCATTAGGGTTTTTGAAAACTGTTCAGCCTAACACTTTTTCAAAGTTGATCCCTGCTGCTTGCAGCTTCAAAAATAATGCTCAAGAGACATATTTGTTTGTCTCGGATCTCTAATTTTGTCATTTACCTTTAATTTCTTTGCTTACTTTAAGTTCCATAGCGATTGAGGGCGAGTAATTGGCAATATTAAACAAAATGAACTGGACTTCCGTGACACAGCCCCTTTAAACGTCGGGTATGTGCCAGATCGAAAGATGAATGGGCTACGAATATTTACCAAGAAAAAAAAAAACAATAACGAAATGAAAAACAACAACAAAACAAGAAAACACAAATTAAAAAAAAAAACAAACAAACAAACCAGATATTGGAGCTTTAACTAAATTTGGTATTATGTTAAATGTACAGGTGTACTAGGACTAAAATAAGCCTATGTGTGACATCTAATCATTTCATAATCATAAGTATGAGGTATACCTATCCAAAGAATTAATAGTTACTCGTGAACAGTGGCCTATTTGCTATTAATTAATGGCAAGGCTTCGTGATTTCAGGATATTTATATTTTCTTATCGAATAATTTTTAAGAGATTACTTGGCTTTATGACCTGTACTTCTTTTCTGGCGGTATTTTATTATATTTCTTTCTTTAGCGTAACCCCGAAATCAAGTAAGTGATCTTTTCGTTAAGGCTTTACCTAAATACTTACCCAGGTCAACCTTTATCCCGTAATATTCAAAATAACAGTTAATTTATAGAAAAGGTGAACTTTTTCTCTCTTTTTTTGCCTACAGTGTGTCTATTTGCCCAGTACCAGCGCCTGTTGTCCCTTCTGAACAAGTAAATGATCCTTCCATAAAGGGTTTGCTGAAGTGCTTTGATCCTCAGTGCGACAAAAAGTTAAATTCGAACTCTTGTGATGGAGTTGTGGGCTGTTACTGGTGTGTCCGCGATAAGAACGACGCTCCTCTTAATAAAAAATACTGCGCCAATATCAGTTCATGTTACGGAGGAACGGAAGGTAATACATGCTATCATTATTAGAGAGATAATTTGCAATTATTGAATGAGGCTGAGTTAAGGATATGAAGAATTCTGCAGATCGAGGAGGGTGTTATCCACCGAGGCCGAAGGCGGTGGTTGATAACACCCTCCGAGATCTGCAGAATTCTTCATATCCTGCGATAGCCGAATTCAATAATTATTTTATTATTCATTCAAAATAATTCCAACTTTAAAAACAAGCTAAAAATGCTTACCTCGGTCGATGTTAAATTCACATCGATAGTGCATCTTTTTCAGGGAATTTAGCGGATAAAGGTCTGCTCAGGTCTGCAAATATACTCCAAACAGCAGATGTTGTCCGTCGAGTTGACTTCTCGCTGTTCTTACTATGTTTTTAGACAATATTTTGCCATGAAACGAGTACAATGTCCGTCCGACAATTCCGCCATTTTGTTCAAACAACCAAAATAACTCAACCTTGTCTCCAGGTTTCCTCGGTCAACGATTCAATATGACAAATTTTAGAACCCATGACGTCATTTTGACGTCATCGGTTCAATAAGACAGTTCAGCCGCTGGTTATGGTGAATTATGCGTGTGGTTTTACCCAATCAGAAACGGGAAAAAAAAAACTTTTGAATGAAAAAAAAAATTTGAATGAATGATAATTAGCAATTATTGAATTTGGCTTTCGTAGGATTTGAAGAATTATACTTTTATTATTCATTCCAAATAATTCCAAGTTTAAAAACAAGCAAAAACGTGCTTACCTCCGTCGATGTTAAGTTGATATCGATAGTGCATCTTTATCGGGAAGGTTAGGAGATAAAGGGATGTTCAGGTCTGCAAATATACTCCAACTAGCAGATGTCGTCCGTCGAGTTGTCTTCTTGCTGTTCTTACCTTGTTTTTAGACAACAGTTCGCCGTGAAACGAGTGAAATGTTCCGCCATCACTCACTTCGAAAACAACTTAAACTCGTCCCCAGGTCTTCTTGGTTAGCGGTTCAATAATCTGCAATTTAGCTGCACTTTTGACCTCATCGGTTCAATATGGCAAATTTCTTCCAAGTTTGGTCAACAGTAGCTGGTTATGAAGAATTATGCATGTGATTTTAGCCAATTAGAAACGGAGATATATTTTGAATGAATAATAATTTGCAATAGAACGAGTTGATATACAATAATGAAAGTAACAAACGTGTCATCATCATTAGGATGTTCGTTACGTTTTTACCTGTTTTTTGTCTTTAGCCTCAACGGTAGCTGCAACCGCACCTTTATCTTTACTGCATCTGGTTCTTTATCCTCACCTGCCTTTTTACTGCATCTGAACACGAACCTATAGTTGCATCTTAACCACGTTCCCACAATTGTAATTTTGCTACTTCTGCTCCAACCTCTGAAATCAATATGGAGTGCTTTTCCTCCGACGCTTGGCCACCCTACCATCTCTACTCCCTCTGCTCCCACACTCCCTCATCCTTAGCCCCATCACCTGCACTTCATCCTTTACTGTCTTTACATGCTGACACATCTCCACTTCTATCTTAACTGTTTGTTTCTACATCCAAAACTGCACTTCCATCTTTAATGTCTCTGCTACCACACCTGCACTTCTATCTTTACTGTCTCTACTACAGTATCTGCACCTCCGTCTTTACTGTTTGTTTCTGCACCAACACCAGAACTTCCATCTTTACTGTATCTGTTACCACGTCTGCACTTCCATCTTAACTGTTTGATTCTTCACCCACACGTATACTTACACTTCTATAAATACAATCTCTGCTATCACGTCCGCACTTTTATCATTACTGTTTCGTTCTGCTCCCACATCTTCAATTCCATCTCTACTCTTTCTGCCCCCACACCAGCATTTCCATCTGCGGTCGGTATAAAACGCAGACTGCAGACTGCGAACTGAGTGTAAAACACAGACTAGGTATAAGACGTGGACTATGAACTGTGTATATAAAAACAGCTTTAGAAAGGTAAAATTGAGAGAAAGGGATAGCGAAGTTGCATAAAACAGAAGTCCCAGCTCCTTGCCTCACACACAAACATTCCTTTGGCTGATCACGCAGTCTATTCTTCCCAACGTCAGCGTCAAGTGGAGAAGGAAAGCATACTACAAGAGTAAGGGAGGTTATGCCGCTACTCAAGGCATCTAAAAATGAAACTCTGAATTTTACAAAAAAGGAGGAGTTAGTATATAATTCAATATATAGTTTTAAGCCCATTGCAATAGAAGATATGAAATTGAGAGGCACCGAATACAAAAAAATAGTATTACTAGTACTGGTGTTAGTGAGAGTGAAATTCTTTTAGATGCCACAATTCCATTTGAAAGTCTTAGGATATGAGAAAATGAAGATCCCAGACGAGAAGGTTAATATAGAGGCATTCTGCGATGCAAAAAAGCTGTATTTAAAGGGGAGGGGCTACTTACATATACGTGAATAATAACCGAAATATCATCCAGTGTTATATATTCTAAGCGACGATGACATGATTTACACCTATAGATGTTAGAGACCGAGACCACGTCTAAAAATAGGTGTAGAAAATAGCATTATTAATTTGGTGAAGCTCAAACTTTGGAGAACCGAGCGGCACTCCTCCACCAAGAACTTCTAGAAGTATTTATAACTTTTAAGTTATAAATACTAACAACACTTGAGTTTCCTGTTTCTGCTCCAACACTTGCAGTTTCATTTCCCCTGTTTCTACTCCAACACCTGCACTTCCATATTTACTGTTTCTGCTCCAACATCAGCATTTCCGTCTCTACTGTTTTTGTTACCACCTCTGTGCTTCCATCTTTACTGATTGGTTCTGTTCCCACACCTGCAGTTCCATTTCTACTGTTTCTATTCCCACTCCAGCTTTTCCATTTTTACTATTTATGTTTCCACACCTGCTCTTCCATCTTTACTGTTTCTGTACCCACACTTGCACTTTCATTTTTACTGTGTCAGCTCCCACACCTGCACTTTCATTTCCACTGTTTCTGCTCCAACACCTGCACTTACATATTTACTGTTCCTGCTCCAACATCAGCATTTCCATCTCTAGTGTTTTTGTTACCACCCCTGTACTTCCATCTTTACTGACTGGTTCTGTTCCCACACCTGCACTTCCATTTCTACTGTTTCTATTCCCACGCCAGCTTTTCCATTTTTACTATTTATGTTTCCACACCTGCTCTTCCATCTTTACTGTTTCTGCATCCACACTTGCACTTTCATTTTTACTGTGTCAGCTCCCACACCTGCACTTTCATCTCTGCTGTTTCTGCTCCTATTCCTGCACTGATTTCTCCACTGCTTCTGTTGCTACTCTTGCACTTTCATTTTCCCTGTTCAGGGTTTCCACGGTCAGGGAAAAGTCAGGGAAAACCAAAAATTTTCAAGGTCAGGGAAAAGTTAGGGAATTTTTTAAAAAGTCAGGGAAAATTTTTGATATTGTCAAAGTCAGAAAATTCTGTTTTCCGGTTTATAGATCAAAACTTTTCTTCAAGACTTGAAATGCATTTTCTTTGGCAAAGATTAAACGTATGCTGCAAAGCAAGCAAAGCGATCAATTTGACACTCTACGACTCAATGTAGTAGTAATTTTGTGGTCATTGGTATTCGTTGTATATGATTTCTTGATAATTCCTTCTTCTCTTTCCGCGAAAAGCGGAAAAAGGTTGAATATGAAGAGAAAAATGTCGATGGCCTGCAAAAAGAACTAAAGCGAATGTAAACATCGATTGTTTCTCATCAATAAAAGGTCAATGAAAACTGTTTAAATTTCAGTGAAAAGTCAGGGAATTTTTAACTTTCTGTTGAGTGGCAACCCCGCTGTTCTGCACCTACACCTGGGCGTATTGTTTCCATACTGTTTCTGCTTCCAGATCTGCACTTACATCTTTACAACTCAGCTTCCAAACCTGAATTTCAGTCTATGTTGCTCTACTCAGCAGCTGTACTTTCATATTTACCTCTTCTGCTCCCATAACTGAACTTCTATCGTTGGTAATACTACTTTTGTCCCAACACCTATACGTGTTCTCTTCTGCGTTTTCTTCCACACCTACACTTCACCTCTGCTGCCTCTGTGCCCACAGCCTCACCGCGCTTGCGCGTTCATCTTTACTACTTTGCTTTAGTATCTACACATTCATATTTACTAAATCTGCACCATCATTGCCCTTTGTATTATATCTGCACTTGCAAATTCATGTATCTCTTTTTCCACATCGACATTTGTATTTCCATCCTTACGTCACAGGCCTTGTTAATGGTTTTAACCTTTACTCATGTTACGAAAATCTATTTAAAGAGGTTGTTCTTCAAGCATGCTAGCGAAGGGCAGAATTTAGAAAGTATATTTAAAAGACATCCTGTTGAGCAAAATATAGTCTAAACTACGAATTAATATTGGCAATAGAGTAATAACTTTCGGATTGTAATTTAGAGTAAGGTTGCAAAAATGCAAATTGGTAAGGGGTTCCCAGGTTCCGCTCTACACTAACGTTAATACATAGTACACCTCGCTATAATATATCGATTTAGCCAGGGCTAAAAGCGAAGCTCTGGTTAATAATACGTGTAAACAAAAGAAAATTAATTCGTGTAATGGTAAACGGGGACGACAATGAAAATGGCTTCAAGACTAATACATCTAATTAGCAAAAAAACAAAATGCACGTGCAGCACACTTTTTCTTCTAATTAGCAAAAGACAAATTTGCACGTGCAGCACGCTTTTTTGTCTTTCCCTTGTTGTTGTTTTGCACGACTACAACGCTGTTTTGTACGACTAAAACGTCACACTTCCTACAGTAGTTACACATTAGTTTTTATGGAGGAATTGTCGTATGTGCTTACCCAATATTTTGTTTCTTGTGTTCATGTTCGCTTTTATTTTTCATTGCCGCTCATTTTCACCTTGCTGGTCGCTAGCATTTCTCATTTTCTCACCCCCGCTTTGAGTTTCCATGTTGTTTTTCCTACGAAATTCATCTCCTTTGTTTTCAATAACTCGCTCTAGCTCTTTCTCTGTTGTCCACGTTAATGTAAACATAAAAAATAACGCCGAAAAAGGCACGACTTTGTTGTTGTTTTTTCTTCTAAATAAAACCTTGAGTCGCATTTGGTTTGCCATACCTGTTGATTGAGTTATTTTACATTGGTATGCCTGTGGTGCGGACGGACGGTCGCTCGATCGCTCGCTCGCTCGGTGTACCGTCACGTGATTACCAAATTTTCTTGGATGGGTAGATTACCACATTTCCTTAGCTATGGCGCTCCGCCCACGGGCGGCGCCTCGCGCCGCGCGAGGAGCTCCGCTATAAATGCTACATGGGCAAATTGTAATAGTTTGACCTTTTTTCCTTTTATTTACAGGGAAAAGAGCCCCCGGAAGCACAGACATTCCGAAGGACAAAGATGAAAAAGCTGAAGGTAGTAACAAAAGTGGAATGTCTGCTGGTGTTATTGCTGGCATTGTTTTGGGGGTAATTGGTTTCATTGTTGTGATTATTTTGATTATTTTGATTGCGGTGAAATTATTCAAGAGGGAAAGAATCCCAAAGACCACTGCAAGGACTGAAGGCTTTGGACGAGGAATTCCACCAACAGCACCCAGCTCAATAGTGCATAGCCCGCAACCTCAACCCTACAAGGCTCCTTACGTCCTTGAACCTGGCACCTCTATGCAGCTGACGGGCATACCCCCACGTTACGAATCGCCTCCGCCAAGCTATGGTGAAATTCAGCCTAGTGCACCACCCTACAATCCTTACTACAAACAAAGTTTTAGATACAAATAAGTCAGGCATCAGGATTTTAAGTAAGCGTAAAACTTACTAGAAGCATCCGATTAAGCCGGCAAAACCTGCATCTGTATTTTATGTTCTATAATTGTGAGACCAAATTTGATCGAACATCCTTTTAAATGCCCATATAATCTAAGACGGAAAAAATTATTACTGTTATCTATTACATTTAAGACCACAGGTATTTACATCGTTCAACAAGGCATCCAAGAGATTAATGAAAAGATCGAGAAAAAAAGCAATTAACTTTTATTAGTTTATGAACTCTGTCAGTCAAATCATTCTTAACTCTAATCATAGTTAATTGAGTGGAATGGTTATGAAACCCGTCAGACTCCTTTGTTATATGTTTTTGTGGACCTGAAAGTGCACAACGTTCAAAAGAATTCCTATCATTTTGATTGTATTGACCAATAAAAACGTTGCATTAATTTATTCCGTAACAATTTGCCAACAGAAAACAAAGGATTGTGCACTTTCACGGTGCTTTGAACGTAAACTGCAGCACTGTTGTTTTTATCACTGATGTTTGCCGCTCTTCATAACCAGTCTCCTCTAATAACTATGCTCTAATGGTTGATCAGGGACGGCGCAGTCTCTTAGTTGTTGGGCCAGGCCAGGGCTCGCCTCTCTGATCTCTTCTTGTGACTAACGCGTGGGTTCTATTATTGAGGACCCATTAAGTACATATGCGAAGTGAGTTTGTTGTCAGTTCTTTTCCCTCAGTTACGTTCGATTTCGTTCCTCCTGCGCTAACTTACATTTTTTAACCCTTTTACTGCCAGAGTGTTTGATGGAGTTTTTTGAGGTGACTCTACCGTTTGAGTCTGCGGACAAAATCCTATGATATGATCACATTCAAATGAAATCTCTCTGACTGTACTTACACTTGGTGCTATTTGATTTTCAAAATTTGAGAAAATGAAATTGGAACATCTGGTTGAAATTTGCTTTTGGCTAAATTGGCAGTGAAAGGGTTATATAAAAGTTCGTTTTTCAAGGTTGGCTACACTTTACTGAATTGTTTGTTTATTTGTTTGTTTTTTCTTAAGTTACCTGGTGATTAAAAAGCGTAAAGAAGTAAACTATGTACAATTTTGGCTTTGATAAATGAGAGCATTGTTTAATTATTTTGTGTTGTTTACAATTCAATGAGTGATTTTCTGGTAAAATGTAGGCGCCGCTTTTTTACAATACTCAAGGTAAATTATAGTTAATCTTTTCGTGGAGTATATTATCCAATGACCAAACACTAACCAAATTATCTGCAAATATATTTTTCACGAATATGAGCCCATAACACCTATGAGACTTATTAGCTTGTACGTTTGCTTTCTCACAGATCATGTGATGGCACCCTAGAGAACTGTTTCGTTCAAATTTGGCGCTTTCCGCGACACAGGGCCAAACTCCCATGGCGTAAATCACGTGGTCTGAAATGCAGAGAGGGGGCGGGGGGTGGGGGAGTATTAAAACTTACAAGTGTATTGGTTTGAAAAGGGTTGATTCGACCACTACTGCGACGTCGTTTGGGACAATTTATCAACGATCTTAGTACATCTCGCTTTAAAACGATCTTTTAAGCGAGAGCTAACATATGCAGTGTCGCGCTTGGCCTATCGTGCCCTTTTAGAATATTATTTTGCAGTTAACGATTTGTATCCTTTCGGCTACACTAGGTCGGGGACCGCGGAGCAAAATTTGGAAGGGGGAGTCAGCAGGTATTCTTTGTCGTAAAATTTTGAAATAGCGACTCTCTGGGAGGGCCTAGGGTAAGTCAAAGATCATTCACTAACTCGATCGGTCAGAAGGGAATGGCTGTCATACCTCGTATTCTAAAATAAAAAGCATCAGCTATTCTAGGGTCTCTCGCCAATTTATTATTTTATTTATTTTTACTTGAGCTCTACCTACCATATAAGGCTTGGCAGGTCAGAGCAGCCAGTTTTTCTGCGCTTTATGACAAAAAAACAACAAAAACACAAGAGTTTGTTTAGCAACCTTTGTGGCATTACATTATGGAGTCCCTAATGAAAGGGTTCCCAAGTCTCCACTAAAATAGTGGTTAGGGTGGGGAGGGAGGATGTGTGTAAATGGGAGTGTTGTAGGCATAAACCTCTTCCTTATTGAAATCTTCCATCCTGTGAAGTGTGGCACACATGACTGAAAGTGTTTAGGTAAAGCCAATACTGGAATTTACTAGAGTGACTCATCAACAAATAAATCCTCTTTGCACAATATCTTTGTACAGTAATTTGCCCAAAAAAAAATTAATGCCCACAATGTGTTTGAAGTCACTGGACTTTGTCGCACCCGAGCTGATGTTTCAAAACCCACGCTCGATCGGACACTTGTAGCTTCGCAGATCACCGAAATGTAAACAAAAGCCTTAACGTAGAAGGTTTGGCGTTGCTATGTGGGGCAGTAAAAGAGTCAATCTTGTAGTTTCAAAATCTTCTCCAAAATCGGTCTCAAAGTAACTATAGTTTTTTAAACTTGATCATTTCGAGCAGATAAATCAGTGTGCTTAGTGTTGTCAAGTTGAACATGCATAACACCTGTCAAAAACCTACGCGTGAGTAGAATTTTTCTTCAAACAAAGTTAAAGGTTTCATTATTGCAAACATTTCTTTCCAGTTATTTTTTTTAGTATATGATTTAATTACCGACTGAGGTCACTTTTAGGAACAGAGGCCACTTTAAGCACACAAAGAGATACGACAAGCAAAGAACAATTCCATAAGGCACAATATTCAGCTTAAGTGAACTAAAAAAAGCTTCAACAAGGTTGTAAAACAACAAATTATCATTAAAAAAACATAAGGGCTCTTATACTTGCTGACAATGAGGAAATGAATGTCTATACAAAAACAAACTACCTAAAGATCTTTAAAGCAAAAGATCAATTGCAAGCTTCGCAGCCAAGCCATGATTCACCATTTATGACATTTAGTTATTTTTAATAACTGGTCCTTGCGAGGGTCTTCATTCAAGCAACTTGAACTCAGCAAATCATTAGAAAACACAGAAAACTGCACAGAAGGGTTTGCTTTGCTCGCTTCAGTCAAATCCAGCTCCAGCAATTGTTTACGGGCAAAGCCAATTGTTTTAAAGTCACTACCGGCAGTTGTCGTTCTCTACTTCACAGCGATTGAAAAGGACAATTTGGGTACAGAAAGTTATTTCTTATAAAGCACAGAAACTTTCACAGTGCACTAGAAAGAAAACTATGTAATTAAAAATGACAAAAATACTCTGACTATTATTACTTGAGCAACAAAGAAATGATCAAAGTAGTCTTTTCTTCTCGAGTAAGTTTGCTGGCCTTCTATTTCCGAGAAAGTTTTAAGCGCACAAGTTTGTTCACTCGCATGCGCTAGCAATATATGGTTCTTTGACTGAAGAAAAGGATAATAAAAGGTAATAAAACTAGGCATGTAAAACAAGTAACTCTAACTGCTAATGATAGTGTGATATTGCTGTCGTATATTTAGGAAAACGGAGTGCCCCTTAACTTCAGTACTTGTTGTAGCCAGTAATTAAGAGACCCAAAAGTCACTTAGTGAGCGGTCACTGTGAAAGGTACCATCAATTTCGTTTGAGCACTTAGAGTGAACTGACATTTCCAATATTTAGAAATACTACGCAGAATTATCTCATCATTATCATTATATGCTTAAATTGTCTTGCCAATATACACAGGTGGATTAATATTTACGTGAGTCTCTCAATTTAACTCAGGGAAATAAGAACAGTCATATTAACATATGACGATCAATTTAAAAATCAAGATCCTTGCCAGTGTTTTCACGGCGACGTAAATGGGGGGAGCACTAGAGAACTTTCTGACCGCGATTGTGTTCCGTGCTCTTTACTTATTTCTCGCTAATCCAAAACCTTCTGCAAAAATAATAAATTTCACAACCCTTCTCAAGTTAAGTCGTTGAAAGATTGTCATTTTCACTATGCCATCCCTGTCGAATTCTGCGCAAATCAGTGATTTTACGATTATGTCTTATGGCTGTATTAAAATCAATGTTAATTTTCACATTAATATGTGCAGTAATTACTATATAGCTACTTTTATCTGTGGTATACAGAAACTGACTATATTTAGGTTAAAGGGACGAGGAAACAATTAAAAGCGAACAAAAAAAGGAAGGAAAACCGGAATCGTTTGAATTTGTGGATTGTCATCCCTGCTTTTTGCTTTGCCCTTCCATTAAACCTCTTCCTTAGTGAAATCTTCCATGCGGTGAAGTGTGTCACACATGACTGAAAGTGTTTAGGTAAAGATACTGGAATTTTACTACAGTGACTCATCAACAAATACTTCCTTTTCACAAAACTGGAATGAATTTCTAAGACTTCCTGTTCTCGAGTATATTGGACTCTAACTTTCTGTTTACCGACGTACGTGTCGGATAAAACGCGGTGTTACCATTTAAGTTCACCAATTGTTGACAGTGTGGCCAAACAAATCCTGCTCAATGATTTTAGTACTGAAAGTCTCTACCGCATTATGAAATTCTTTACAAAAAATAGAGAAATTGTCATTCACATGATAAATAGAGTTTTCACATGACGTCACGGCGGCCATATTGGTTTCCCAAAACAATGAAACGTCGGCCATGTTGGTGTCCCAAACCAATCCTCAGGGAGTTGAACTCTTTTCTTATGCAAACGCTCTCTTTTGTTCCAATAAATTTGCATGGATGCTGGCCACGTGAGTGAAAACGCTCTATAGATAAACACGTCAGATATCATCAAGAAACATTCAATGACATAACGTAACAGGACAAAATAATACTAAAACGTTTGTGTTCCTGAGATTAGTTTTTGGACGGCAATAATAAGAACTTCATCGTAAAGAAAGTATTCGTAGCTTTCTTTCCACTAAAGGATGAATTTAACAAGTCTACTGAGGAGTGTGGCTTTCACGATTTTTCTGCTTTTGTCAACATGTTTTATTCCATCTTCCTTAGCACAACTTGATGTTACAAAATTTAGTAAGACGCTTTCTACACTAGCAAGGGACGGTCTCGGAACAGCCACATTACAAGTAAGTCATCTTCCAAATACTTTGCTTCTTTCATTCATTTTACTGAGTCATTTCCCAGATCGCTGCAAGTTCACTTGCATTTTACAGTCGAAGCCCTGCTTCATACGGACGCAGTCATTGTTACGGACAGCTTTCTTTGTCCCAGGGAAAAGCACTTGCAGTTTTCTAAATTCAACCCCCTTGAGGACCTGTTTACATGAGGGTGGGGGACCCCAGGTAGGTGGGGTTACCCACCTGTCCAGTCTCTTATTTTAATTTTATCGCGTTTACATGATAGGTGGGGTGACCTGCCACATGTCACCTCACCCATCTGGGGTCCCCCACTTCCATGTAAATGCCCGTCAATTTATGTGGAGAACGGACACTTGTTTCTTAGTGCACCTGTTAACTGTGTGCAAAACCTTTCGGTTTTCAAAATGAGAATGATAAATATATAATAGCCTTAAAAGCCTTCAGTTGACAGCATGTTGATGTTCCCAGCGCTACACTGCACCGATTAAGTTGCATAGAAGTCATTTCAGAACTGTTTCAGACCATGTTGGTATGGTAAGTAATGTATAAAGAAGCGCTTGTGAGCGTTCTATGGACATAGTCCTCGGAATGACGGCTTTGTAAAGGTCAGAGATGTTTATAAATCTGACGATGCTGATGTTCTCTTTTGCAGTATTTATAAGAGAAAAGGTGTACTTGTTTTTAAAATAACATGATCCGTTTTAGGAAACCACGGTTACTTACGGACACTTAAGAACTATCATCCTCTCAAAGTCTGTTGTAACGGGGTTTTGCTGACCCTACATTAATTTAGCAAGAAACAGTTAAAAATTTAAAGACTAATTAACACCTCGATTTCTACAAGGTGATACTAAGTTTTATTTGCAAAGACTTTTTTCTATGCCATTCTGTTTCTGCCCTTGCATAGCAGCGCCCGCAACTTAAAGAATGAATCGGCACCTGGGAAAGGAGTTTATTTGCCTGCAAATAAAAATGTTTATGTCACCTAGTCACGATATGATTAATGTTTGTTTAGTAAGAGGGGCAGTCTTTGCCTATGTTGAAGCTGAATGCGTGACTTGGAGGGAAGGAAGGGATGTGAGCAGGGTCCAAATTTGATACAAGATAGTCAAGTATTGATCACAAGGTTATCAAGAGATCAATCGGAAATTTACTAGCCGGGAAATCACTAGCTGGGAAATTACTTGCCGGAAAATTACTAGCTGTAAAACTACTAGTCACGAGCTCGTACGGAAAAGTACTTAGCCTCGACTTGTTGTTGTTCCTTATTTCTTTTGTATTTGCGTATTTTTGTATTTGTATTTGCTTAAAAGCGCTCTTGCAAACATAGCTCTACTGATGACCACAGAATTTAGCCAATGGTTCTCTTTAGAGCAAGGAGGCATAGAAGAGTACCACCAAGGTTGCGAGCAGGTTCACTTGTGCAAATTCGGGGAAAATTTTCTAGCTGGATGGCGAAGCGAATTTAGGATATTCATTTTTTCCTAGTCCCGCCGCTAATTTACATACCCGACTATAGCAAGTTCAGAAACCGCGGATCTGAAGGTCTTGACCTAAACGTGTTCAACGTCGTATCGAAAAGGTAATGTTTCACGGGAACAATTTTTAGCTCAAAATGGCATTTATTTGCAAGTTAAAGGAGATGTTACACTTGACGGCTCACAACGAAAATTTTTAGAGCAACAAAATTCGGGAAAATTTCTTAGCGTAAACAAACAACATGTTATTACACGGGACGCTTTTAAGCACAACAAGGGAAGCAAAAAGGGTTCTCAAAAGGCGCAGTGCGGAAGATTGACGTCATGTATGTTACACCAAACGACCTCGAGCGGAATTCGCGATTTGGCGTTTTTGAATGCAGAAAATCGTCTTAAGACCTTGTTTACAGTCTTAAAATAGTCGGCTTAGTAATACCAGTAACCGATTGTTAAAGTCGCGACGTTTCCTTTATCTAAAGAAAGGGATTGCCTTGAATCAATGGAAAAGCCCATTGTGTCGAGGGCTTGCGTTGATGTTCGCGAACTTTGTGAAGTTTATTATCTCCCATTTAGCAGCAAGCAGTAAGAACTAGCCCAGTACGAAGGAAAAACTGATAATGAAGAAGTGGAAATAAGAATATGGGATATCTCATAAAACTGATCATTAAGTAAATCGGGTAAAATTTCCACGAGTAAAACGGCAAAATCTTCCTCACCATAAATATTGCGCTCAGCAACAACTAACTATAACTAGGAACCTTCAAAGCGAAAACAGAAAGAGAGAAAACAGTTAAAAATCTTAAATTTCAAGACCTTGTTAGTGAAATATGGCTTTAGAGAGCATCGCGCAGAATGCCTATTGTTCTCGGGGCATTTACTTCCACTTCAAAAAAAGTTCATAGATTTGTCATATTACGCGCAATCACGCAGAGACTCTATGAAAGTGCTTCAACCATTGGTTGCCAAGAATGCACGACGATGCTCACTAATATGATGTAGGTGGCAAACTAAACAATGAAAATCGCGAACGTGCGCATATTTCACAGTGAACGCTCAAATTATTTTGACGGAATGTTATTTGTTCAAACGTTAAACCATCATCTTTCTGCGTGAACCCCTTTCAGTGCCTCGTACAGTTGTTCTGCTTGTTCCACTTGGGCACCTTGAAGTGGCCAGTGATCAAGTTTATCACTCGTTGTAGAGAACCGAAAAACTTAAAGAGTCATTTAAAGGAATTAGGAATTCCAAATAATGTTAGTACTTTGCGAAAGTCTGCTCTTCTTGGCCGGAATAGCCACCATCTTGAGAAAGGTCCTTGAAGTCTAAGTTTTGGGGGCTGGACCAGACTAAAACTTTAACGTTTTTTGTTCCCAGAACGATGAACACCTGTGTAAATTAGAGATAATAATAATTATTATTATTATATAATAATAAATACATAAACCCTATCTCTTATATCCAGTTACAGCTTGGGAGACTTACCTAGCAGACTTACTACTATCACACAAATGGACAGTATATGTCTGGCGTTTGCCCCTAACCTTGAAGGGGGAGGGGGGAATTGTTTTTCAATGTTTTAGTAACTAAAGGATGAAGAAGTAAAGTTTGTAAATAAAGGACGTCACTTAGTAACAGGTTTGCTTACGCTTCACTAACGTTGTGTCGCAGAGTTGGAGTGCCTTTTCGCGATTTATTGACAAATTCATTGAGAAAATAATTTATCTTGCTGCCTACCAATAAATGCCGACAAGCTACTTTTCATATATATATAACTGTTTCATGAGTCGCGAAAATGCCGGGCCTCGAGAACTGTTGCAAAACGGGACGCCATATTGACACCCGTTTCACAAAATTCCCAGTACTGATTTGGAAAATACTAATAAAATTACCACTATGGTTTTAATGCAGTGGCTTTATGAGTTGTGTACTTTATTTTCAATTTCGTTTCCCTTTATAGAATGACCTTTGCTATATCAGCCCTCATTTCTTAAACTGTTTACTATAATAGTCATGCTTCAGCAAATTAAGCCCCTTTAGTGTATCCCCTGTCTTCCCCTGTCTTTCCTTTATTAATATGCATAAGTGTCTTCCTCCATACTAATGAGGGTCTTCCCGCATACTTATTTGGTATAGGTTTACTAATGAGCGTCTCCCTTATTCAATAGAAACAATAGACATGCCCAAACTTGCCCGTTAAGTAACTTGAGCCCAGTTTTCGGACCGTCTATTAAAAGGAAATAGGAATAAGAGAAGAGATCACCTAGCAACGCGAGAAACGGTTTCCTATATCTTATTTAGCGCTAAAACTCAGATATATAAACAAAACACATGCGCAAAGTAGAACTGAAAACTCTCTATTTCAATTTTGTCTGACGTTTTCTCCTATCTATCTCGAGGAAATGAAAAACTATTACAGTCTCAGCGTTTCATGCACCGCTAGTCAGTTAATTATGCGAGTTCGCAAGCCCAAAGTTGCATTCAAATTTAGCAGTACAGGAAAGACCCAAGGGAGCACCTTGACGTATTATTGCCCCCGCAGGGATTTCGCAAATCCCGAGGAGGCACTCTAGTAAGTCGCGCGTATATTAAGGGAAGTGCTTACAGTTGAAATATACAGTCAAGGGATGAACGTTTCAGGGCTACTACTTTCTGTTTCCTGACTGTCGTTTTCAGTGTCGTTGTCGCTTTCTTGGGTGCCTTCAGTTTCAACGCCATTATCAGAAGCCACTTCCTCCTCCTCCTCCTGATTTTCAATATCCGATGAACTTTCCTCATTATTACTCTCGTTATCAGAAGTATTTTCTACATTTTGGTAGCCTTGTTCCTTTTCTATTAAATCACTTAACAACGTTTTATTCTTGATTAAACCTTTATCAGTTCCTAACTCTGCAAGTCCATCTAGAAACGTATTCAGCGCACGAGTCTTGGTAACCTCATTGTTATGAGGGAGTAACACATACTCAACTAACTCAGCGATGTTTGTGACGGGAATAGTGCCTTTATTTCGAAGTAATTGTCCGCTGGGAGTCCAGAAAAGAATATCTTTGGACGCGGCCATACTATGCAGCAAATCGGAAGCACGCTTTTCCGGCACTGCGCGGGAAAGATGACTCTAAACATCTTTTATTCTTGGTTATTCTTTTGTATTCTCGGTTCTTCATCCTCGCTTTCATCACCAGAACTTTCGCTTTCTTCATGTTCACTCTCGTGTTCTTCTTCAACCAAATCTATCTTTCTCTTCATTTTTGATGAGTATCCGTGAAAGACTTAGCTTCGAATGATCAACCTAGCGATGCGTCACCTCTTTTATAGCATTAGAAATCCTAAGCTTGAAACAACAGGGGTTAATACATCTTCAATAAAACCACTACCTTCTTGTACAAGGACTCGCTTCTTTGTTTTGTAAGGGACATTTGGAATGGCCAGGTTAAGTAAGGCATCCTTATATGGCAGCAATGTCCGCTTATTTTCTTCGGAGATAGGAATGTGTCCCATGAGTATATTGTATAAGACTTCAACTAGTGCATGTAGTTGTTGTGGAGTAGCTGTCTTTAAAAGAAACTGGCGCTGATAAGCAAGGCAATCAGCTAACAGTTGAAGAAAACCACGATTGTTGTTCACTACACGAGACATTGCTATAAAATAAACTAAGAATGGCAGTTGGTGGTCCCTTATAGAATCTCGTGGAGGGAAAACAGTGGAAATGAGGTGGTTGTGGTGGTGGAGGGAAAACATTAGAAATGTTGTTGTGGTGGCGGAGCAGGAAAACAATAGAAAATGTGGTGACGGTGGTGGTGGTGGTGGTAGAGGGAAAACAATAGAAATGTGGTGGCGGTGGGAAAACAGTAGAAATGTGGCGGTGGTGGTATATAGTTTCACTATTCACGAAGCAGTATTGAAAACAAAGTTGAGTGTAGGGTCGATGTGGGATCGATGTAGGGTCGATGCGGGCTCGATGTAGGGTCGAATTAAGGTCGATGTGGTCGTGGATGGAAAATGAGAAGAGGAGGGAAAATAATAAAACTGAGGGAAAATAATAAAATTGTGGAGGAGGGAAACGTAGTAAAAAAAGATAGCTAGCTTTTTTTGTCTATTTTAATAGAATCGTTAATCTAATCTTTTTGCAATTATTTTAATAAAGGGCCGTAAAGTTGATTTCTTGTGTCTTAAGAAACGTGTCTGATTTTATTGTTGCAATTATTAGTCGCATGTTTAATCAATTGATCCTTGTTAAGTTATTAATTGTTTTATAATAATACGTCAAGATGCTCCCTTGGGGTTTTTACTGCAGAGCTAATTTGCATATTCAACGGTGGGCTTGCGAACTCGCATAATTACCTGACTAACGGCGCGTGAAACGTTGAGACTTTAATGGTTTTTCATTTCCTCGAGATAGAAAGGAGAAAACGGTTCTATATTAGTCAGACAGAATTGAAATAGAGAGTTTTCAGCTCCATTTTGTGCGTGTGTTTTGTTTATATATCCGAGTTTAAGCGCTAAATAAGAAGACATAAGCTAGATTGAAATAAAGACTTTTCAGCTTCACTTACTCCTATTTTCCTTTTAATAGACGGTCAGAAAACCGGGCTCAAGTTACTTCACGGGCAAGCCGAGGCAAGCCTATTGTGCCTATTGTAGTATTCGCTCATTAGTAAACCTATACCGAATTAGTATTAGATTTACCTATACCTATACCTATACCGAATTAGTATGAAGGAAGGTATGTGAATATTAATGATTTACCTATACCTATACGTATACCTATACACCAATGAAGCTTATCTTTGACTCTCTATGACTACTTACTATAATCACGGTATTGTATTTTAAATTTCCAGGACGCGATTGACAGTTTGCAGTTCATTGAGAGACCTGTGAATGGTAGTACAGCTATTCCTATCTTGGCTGCAAGCATTGCCAACAAGTTTAAAGAGAGGTTTGATGTTGTACGAGAACTTAAATTGGCCGTGGAAAGATCTTGGACTATAGCACCTGGACGAACACCAACACAATGCTGCCAGGTTAAAAATTCTGGTCAATTAGAATACGATTCAAGATTTCGTTCAAAAGTCGACCTTTCACGAATATGCGTCAAGGTATCTAAAAATGCTCCAGCTTCTCCCACCCATGTTGCGCATTCTGTGGTGGAGAAAATGAAGAAGATTTCTCAAGATTACCCCGTTCTGAAATGGCAGTACTTTGCCTCTGAACAAGGTGTGTTGTCGAACTTTCCAGCGTGGGAAGATACCGCAGATTGTGGGTCTTATGATCCTCGATTCAGACCTTTTTACGTGGAAACAGCCACGCCTGAACCAAAAGATGTTGTTCTAGTTATTGATCACAGTGGTTCGATGAGTGGTTCACGCATGATAGTCGCAAAGGAAGCTGCAAAAACTGTTCTGAGAACGATGAATCCAAGGGACAGGGTAAGTATTTTCCAACGTTCCGACCGTACGTGCGCAGATGTAGGATAAAACACCAGGTTAACTTAACGTTACGCATTTGCAAGAACAGCAGGATCATCAAAACATATTTTGAAGGCCATATTAACTTTGAAATAGTGTAAGGTGTTATTTTTCTCTGCCAAATGCCTCGAAAATGTTCGCATTAATTTTAATAAGGTATGGTCCTACTATGACTGTAAGCTTAGCGTCAATGTATGAGTCATGTATGCCTGGTGTGACAGTATTCCATAGCTGATTTTGTTTTAAGTTTGTAATGTCCTACTAGAGCGACTACATTTAGAACTCAGTATTAAATTAAAGTTATGCGTTCAGTTGATATGTAACCCAGTGTGTAGCAAATTTTCGGAACGATAAGAATTTAATATTTTCTCGGTAAATTCCCCTTTATTTACACACCTTAGAGTTACTTCGAAAGACGCAAAAGTAGAATACAGTGGATATTGCATTCAGTGGACCCTATGTTGGCGGACACAGAAAATACTTGTTTGAGTTTGCTTAATCGGAAATAGGGAAAATGTATGAAGGGGGAATTAGTAAAAATATGGAGGGGGCAGACGCGTGAAGAGGTCGATTTCCATGGTAATACTTTGACGCAAAATATGCTTACGATGAATTTACCTTTTGCGTCACAAGTTGTGTAAAGATCTAACACTCGAGAGTCACAACTATGTTGTACATGTAGGTTTAGCTAGGTTTTATGTACACAGCACAATTTGTGTCGTACGGTTCCGATAATAAGCACGTCGTCGCATGCAATAAAGATTTACAGTGTGTAATGGGCCTAAAAGAAACTCTACTTTTCCCCCCTACGATGCTAGTTCTTATGGAAAAAATGTTTGAATGTCATTGCCCCCTACTGCCCCCCCCCCCCCCCCCCCCCCAAAAAAAAGATAGATCAGCTAGGTTAGCCTAGCCTTGTAAATTGCCACTCTCAAGTGGCGGGCTAATGCTACGACATAATGCAACGATGTGCTAAGTCATTTTTTCTACCAACATATAGGAAAGGCGGTGGTAATATGTTTGCTTGGTCTCTTTTATTAGATTGGAATTGTGAAGTTCAATGGACAAGCCTCCACCCCAGTTGAATATGACGGCGATGGAAGGGGCTGCCATAGCCAGCGTTTAGCTGATGCTACGCCTATCAACATCAAATACTTGGAAGAATACGTAGAAAGTATCTATGCTAACGGTAAGGCTTAAAGCATTTGGAAGCAATTGAAAATAAGTTTTATTGAGAAAAACAATTCTGCCTCCTTGCGTGCCTGTGGTGCCTTTGATTCGTTCAGTTTTTAATTTGAAAAGTTTGGTATACGAAAATGACACTTTTTCTGTCAAAAATGGAATATACAATCGGAAGGAGTTGGACTTCGGAGCGAAAATCCTAGCCTGCGAAAACAGCCGTTTAATTTCTCCTCGCTCTTCACCGCTGGGGACGTTTCGCATGGAGGAACGTCTGCGACTCAGCGACAGAAATTCCATACTGATGACGTAAATTAATGTTTACACAATATATCCGGTAGTCATGAGGTTCCACATCCAAATTGTTTAGTTTTACGTTTCTCCTGGTCAATTTTACCAAAGTGTTGTACAGTGTTCATCTGCGAACGAGCTCCAGCTAAACTCAAGTGCTTCTTCTAGAGAAGGATATTTTTCATCAACTTTGACTGTTTTGTTGGAGATTCATCCTGTTTACATTTAAACTTCGTGGCCTTTTGTCTTTTGTCTGTCATTCGTAAACAATAGCGAAAACAATGTAACTACTCCGTCGACCAATCAGCGCTTCTGACCGGATTCCGGACAGATTTTACGTCATCAGTGTGGAATTTTCAACGCGGAGTAGCAGACGTTATTCCCCGCGAAACGTCCTCAGCGGCGAAGAGCGAGGAGAAACGGCTGTTTTCGCAGGCTACGAAGATCCCCATGTAAAACTTTCCTGAATACCACTCCCGTCCTCAGGGACGACAAGTACAGGAAAAACTTGTCAATGGGATTGGATTGTTTTCCGTTTGACGCTACAAGTCTCCCTACTAATTTTTTTTTCCTGTTCATAGGAGGCACTGATTATAGTAAAGCATTCATTAAAGCCTTCGATCTGTTCAATGGTACATCTGGCATAAGCGGTTCTTCCAGGAAGAAGGTTATCATCTTTCTTACCGATGGCAGACCAAATGATAATGAAAAAACAATATTGCAAACAATAAAAGCAAAGAATGAGGAGCTGAATAATGAGGTGGTGATCATGACTTATGGAATGCTGGCGAACTTGCCAATTCTGCGTTACATTGCTGAACAGGAAGGCCTTGGTGTCACAAAGCAATCTGATGTCACTGTAAGATAAACCTAATCATTTCAGTCCGCTGTTAGTTTTTAGTTATCTATTCTTAATCTTGGCAACAGTTCCCGACTAGTCATTTCAGGTACTTAAAGTATAGAAGTTCTTTACAGGAGCAACTTAAATAAATGGTAGATTTCTGAAAGCTAAATAAAACCATGGATGCTGAGATATATAAACTTTGTTACTGCATTCACAGCCCAGGGGGAGGGGGAGCATTCAAGGGACGTTTGGGCAAAGGTGTCCTGCCAAGGCCTTTAAAACCTGAAATGTTCATTTCACTACATTCCATTAAGTTTCGTATACAGAATAAAGCGATTTTTGAAATTGCGATCACAGAGATAAGTCTTTTTGGAAAAAAAGTTGCCTTCGAGCAAACTCTCTCTCAGTGTTTTATATTGGATCTGATTGTCCCCCAGGGAAAGCCCAGAAATCGCTAATACCGTTTGCTGACAGACACCGTAGAAACAACGATTCAGTTGTTAAGTTTTCAATTACTTATCCCCTGAAGAAGAATAGAAGAGATGCTAAAGTAATATTTGCTTTTTTTGTAATCTGGTATCCAAATAATGGCAAAAAAGTATGAGCCTCTAGCTAGGTTGCTATCAACTTTTGAGATACATGTACTGGTATACCTTTACCACTGCAATAACTGATGTTATTTTTCTTTAAGGCTGGAAAATTTACATATGTGTCAAACACAAACACCTTGCGGAATGATATGGCAACCTATTACGACTTTTTCTCGTCAAAAACAATTCGCAATGAACCAATCATATCCATTCCTTACGTTGACGCTTTTGGCACAGGTAAGAAACGCTATGCATGTAGTTTACAGGTTTACAACGTCGAACTTCTTACATACCACAGGACACTCTTAAGTTAGCTCGTGTAGCTGATAATTGTTGGTAAACTAAAGCTGTAAATTGGACTTTGACGTCATAGTGGAGCTCTCGCGCCCTCAAAGTGCGGGAAACAAAGCACTATGAATAACAAAATTTAGTTATCTGTGCATCCAAGAAATATTTGGCTCTGACAAATTCGTCAGTCCATACGTCCGCCATTCATGTTAGCGCATGTAAGTGTATGTGAAATGTTACACTTACTACCTTACTGCCTCATTTAGTTGACGTGTTTTTTAAATTTCTCCGCAGACCAGTTATTGGATTTCAAATGATCACAGGCTCAGGTCGATTTTTTCAGAAGGAATTCAGTTTGCGTGTTTTTATGGCGAAAGTTCATAAAAAAAAAAATTCTTCAACGATCCCACGACAGTCTCGCTTGGCCTTCCCTGAATCTACAATATATATTTAGATGTCAACATACATGCACACTTGCTACTATTCCTATAATTCCCTACTTTTATGGTGTCTCATTGGTTTTCCTATTCCTATAGGTCTGTTAACTTCGATAACACTGCCATGTTATCATCAAGGAAAATTCATCGGTGTTGTTGGGACAGATATTAGCATGGCAGATCTTCTGTCAGAAGTTACGTATTTTCAAAGAGGCCAGCGAAGTTATGCCTGGATGGCGGATAGTTCTGGAAGGACCATGATGCACCCTCTTCTCCCAGCCCCTTCAGACGCCTACGGTGACCCAATTTTTATGGACATTACAGCTTTGGAACCAGAACCTGGATTCAATGAGATTTTCAACTCCATCAAAGTGTGAGTGCTTTGGAGCATTTAGTGCCGAAAAAAACTATTCATCCTTAGGGATACGAGAAGAATCCATTAACGTTTATATCCATTACGCTTTTTATTATGTTTTTTTTTTTGCTTTGATAGCGGTAGATCCGGGAATCTTTCATTCATTTCAAAGCGGTTTCTTGCTCGTGGTGGGCAAATCAAGGAGGGAGTTTCAGTTTTAGATGTACTGTCTACTTACTTCTGGAGAGCAGTTGACAAAACCAAATTCACCGTTGGAATTGTGGTGGCAGATGGCGATAAGGATGAAACACTCTCAACTCAAAGTATTCCTTCAGGTAAGTACATTACCATATTATCAACATACAATTAAAAGTTCTAAATATAACTGAAGATTGAACTTTCGTGTTCATCGATAAAAAGACGAATTTATAGAATCGGAAAATTGAATATAGATCTTAACGACAAGGAACGCAATCGGCCATCAGTTGCTTTAGATTTCTTAATAAGTAGAGTATTAAACCGTCTTTAAGGAGTAGGTAAAATACGTTTTAAATGGAAGAGACGGGGAGGGAGATGGCGGAAGACTGGAGAGAGAAAGCCTTACCTTCGCTCTCTCTTCTCTTCGCCTTACCTTTCCCCATTCTCCACGGAAATGCATTCTGCTGAATAAGTTCTCCTCAAATGAACTTCCCGTTAGTCTGACAGTCTCCATCATTATCATCATTTAATTATCATTATCGTCGCTATTATTCTCATCATCATATCTTATCGCGGTGAACATTCTTGGTTGCGGTAGACGAGAGGAGATCGCACACCTAATTTAGCGTGGTGTTCCTGTGCTAACTGAACCTTTCCCGCGTTCCTGTTAACAAAGGCACCAAATCAAGGCATGTGATTCGTATGAAATTGTCCACCGAAGCCTAGACCTCATTTCTTCATGTTGTCGAGGTTTGTTCGTATCCTTCTCTGTCACACCAATTTAACTGGTATTTCACAAAAGAGGCACAGAAAAAAGCCAGCAAAGGGCTCGCATTTTTTCAGTCTTAATAGCACTTCAAGAAATTTTGTCATGAGAATCACAAGTGCTTGTTGCGTTACGCTAGTTTTAACATGAACTCTTTAATTATTTTAATTTGCCCGTTCTTCCTAACTTTCAAACAGATTTCAAATTTCTCTACCATCGTTTGGATTTAGTAAGGCCGGATGAACCCTGCGTTCACTTTTCTAGATATGCAGCTAAAGGTAAGTTAAACGGAATAATAAATAAACAAAAACTTGATTGCTGATAAACTACTACGAGGTGAAAAATTCCTGAAAAATATTTTTCTAAGGAACCTTTCATGAATTTGGTGATAACGGTGTTATTCTTTTTTGGGAAAATTTTGTAGCGATTAACTGCACGAGACAAAAAGCGACTAGCTAACGACTAGTGGGGAGCGTTTACGTGGGAATATTCAAGCTTCTTCATAGTTGTTGTGTTTCTGTAAATACTACTGACACAAACTTAATCCATGTGATAGCCTAGCGCTAAACATACTTAAAAGCTAGGATACCATGACCTGTGCGACAGCAATCGACTAAAAGATGAGGCAGCAAGCTTATCCCGCCTCCATCAAGTCCAGCGTTAAGCGATCGAACTTTTCCTCCTGTAATGCCTGTACACACATTTCTATAACTAGTAACAGTTGACACTAGAGCTGCCCGCGTTCTGTATATTGTCGTTCAATAGTATTCTTGCTCGTTGTGTCGCTCTTTGAAATATACCGATTCACAATGAAGATTTTCACACATATTCCATACAATAGGTGAGATAAATACAGGAAACGCAAGGTTCCATGCACAGTTTCAGCTCGATTTACACAGCTTTGATCAAAACATTCTCAGTTTCGACAAGAGTTTATTCTAAACCATAAGAAAAGATTTAATTAGAAGTTGAATATTTCGCTATTTCTCTTTCACTTTTTACATTCGGTTCATTTTCTTTGCCGGAAAGTAAGCCTTAGAAATTAAAAGGACGTTTGACCGATTTACGCTCGCGCATTCTAGTCTTATTTTAAACTTTATAACGGAAGGACATCTGTAAGCAGGAAATAAGTCAGCACAGAATTTGATTGTCGGCGAATTTCTGCAATCGTCCATCGTTCTGCTAGTGAGAAGCTAGCCGTTATTCACTCGTCTTGCTTGTTTGGGGCTGAGTCTTATTCTGGTCAAAGAGAGAGAAAGTGTCTGGCAAGGTTTCCAATCAAAGATTTGTGAACTCGTGTCAGGCAAACTCTCCAAGTATTTATATATACACAGTTGAACGCACCTTATAACCTCATCTGCGCTTAACGAGTGTCTTTTGGTCCATAACTTTCAAAACAACTGCTCTACAGAATGTCACTGCGTAACGCAAAAGATTATCGAGGTATTATTGCACAATAAATGTCAAAAAAGCTACCTGAGCGGTCCCTTCCGGGATTTTCTGTCTTTAAGTCATCCTAACTATTTCGTACTTGCGGGCGCAAACAATAGAAACGTGACCATTACCTACCGATTCCTCGCGGCTCCTGTTCAAGCAAATCGAGATTTTTTTCTATATTGACTGTATGACTGTATATTTCAACTGTAAGTACTTTCCTTAATATACGCGCGAGTTACTAGAGTGCTTCTGCGGGGGCAATTACTGCTTGTAATGTGGCTGGCGCCATTTGTTAGAAAGGTGAATAACGTTATCCACCGAATGATCACTATCCACCAGATAAATCATTATCTATGCAGTGGGTAAGTATTTGGGGGAAACGAGTTGGGTTATCTACTGGATACAGATAACGCGGTTTACTTCTCCACCTTTTGAACAACTGCAGGGGCTTGCTTTTTTTTTTCCTTTTTTGTTGTTGTTGGTTAATTTTCTAACAAAGGGCTCTGCAGTTATCTGTTTCTCCCAGGTCACATGATTATAAACAATAAAAATTTTTATCCGCCAAGAGTCTTTGAGCGTGCAACATTGTAAAATCTATGACTTGTGATGTCAACGGTCCACTATTCCCAGGAAATGCATGTTGTTCGCTGGTTGAGATCTAACTACTTTCCAAGTTCCGTTCAGTAAACCATGCTTTGAGACTTCTAACCTAAAACTTTTACTCATTTGAAGGAACAACCGTTGTGAAGTTTGGTGCTGAGGCCTTTGCAGACCCTTACACCTCCTTAGGCTTGGACGAGGCGATGTCCCGAGTGAAGGCATACAAATCGTACATGACAAGTTCAAGTGCTATTAATCCTGGGTCCAAACCAGGCATTAGAGACACAGTGCTTGTTTCCAGCAAGGTCGATGACATTTGGTTACGCGAAAAGGCGGAATGTACAAAGTACTTGGTGTGGAGATATTTTGGCACAGCCAGCGGGATGTTTAGAATAACATGTGGGACATTGATTGCAAAATCACATGATCCAACGAAACGACCATGGTAATACGATTATTTTAGTCCTCCTTCCTCAAAACTGGGTCTACTTCTCGAGATCTAATTGGTACTATTAACAAGTTATATTATTTTGATACAAAGAGATGTGATGATAGCATTTTTACTTTCATGTTATGATAAACACATGTTTGCAAACTCTAAATGACAGTCGGATATAACGCCATTTTTTAAAATGGCTTAACCTAATGAGATTTATGGCGTTATATCCGACTGTCATTTTGCGTTTGCCAAAATGTGTTTATCACAAAGTAAAAAAAGTTCCTAAAGAGAAGACGCCTAGATAATTCGAAGGAAGGATTAACATGGGTTAGTGCGCGGCCTTCTGTGCGGGCGGTCCCGAATTTGATTCCCAGGTTCAACCTCAAGTCCTTCCATTCAACTTGTTTCCTTTCCGTAAAGCTTTAAAAAGCACTGATGGACAGAGAGGGGTGAAGTGAGCGTATCGCGGGCCTCAGGTCTGTTAGTCAGATGACTATTTCGAGCTACCGACGAAAATGAAGGACACCCTTTACTCTTTAAATAATTGCAGGCTTTCCCACCCTCCGCATCCGTTGTAGACCTTAAGGTAATAAACACACCTTTTACGCGGAATAATGTGGAGGACGATACTTCGGCTTTATGACTAACTGGATATATTTTTATTTTTACAATAGGTACCATGCCGCGCTCAGAAACACGGGACGTGTTTCTTTATCCACTCCTTACATAGACGCATTTGGATCAGGAGTAGTTATAACCGCTTCCCACACTATATATCGCGGTGAAGCTAGTCACAAACACAGCGCAAATGACCAGGTCATTGGTGTTATGGGTGCAGACTTTCCTTTGTCTTATTTTTATAAGTAAGTTGTTCATCTTCCTCTTTTTTCTGTGTTCTTTATGTCGACTAGCAAAATAGTGGGGTGATTTTTTTTTTTTTTACAGTGTCGTGGCAGAGCCAATAAGGCTTTTTTTTTAAAGAATGCCTTTTATCGTGAAGATAATGTTGCTTTTACTACCAGACTTTCCCAAGAACTAAATTAAACACATTTTTCCTGTCAGACTCTTAACGGACACTTTTCCCAGCTGCAAAGATGGCAACTACGAATGCTTTGTGTTAGACGGAGCTGGTTTTCTCGTCATGCACAAAGACTTTTTGTCGCCAGACATTAAAGCAAAAGATCTGGAGTACGTCCACATCACAGCAAAAGAGAAAGAGATAGCCGAGGACCTTTTACAGAAAGGACATTTGGTGAAGAAAAAATGTAGACACTTGGAAAAGATTCACACGGAAAATTTCTTCGAGCTGAGCATCCCGTTTCAAGGCCTTAACACACTGACAACAGGACAGCGATGTAGGCAATACCAGCTTGCTAAAGTTGGTGGAAGTAATGCATTTTTAGGTAAGTTTTCTCTGGAAAATTAAGTGATCTTGGGCAAAATTCTCATTTTACTTTAGAGAGATGATATTCGAAGTAAGAAACCCTGGAAGCATGAAGGGTATTAAAATATTAAAATATTTGCCTTCATCGTGAATGTCGTTCTCGTCTAGGAATCAAAAAGCGGGATGATTCCTGTCCATTTGGAAGTTGCATCACGTGCGGAACCAACAGAGAATGCTCCAATCCACCGGTGTCAAGTTGCGAGTGTCCATGCATTTCACGGCTTGACTTTCATTACTGTAGAAATGAATTCCCAGCCAGCAAGTAAGCACATTTAAAATAATAAGACAATCACGTCTTGACGATTATTTTACACATACACTAGCTTTATTGACTTTTAATTGTTAATCTGTATACAATGCAACCAATACAGAACTTACCGCAGTACACTGTTTTCTAGATCGTCGCTTCAAACGTCGAGTTGTGCCAGATCAAAAAGTTCATGGGCACGAAAGTTTACCTAGAAAGAATAAACCTAAACTGAAATAGAAAAGAAAATTGAAAAAGAGAACAAAACAAACTAAAAAGAAACAAACAAATTGAATAGTAGATCTTAAACTAAGTTTAGCCTTTATCGTGAATATACACCTTTATTTTTTTCTGAGCTTGCGAGCGGCTGGAATCCTCCACACCATTTAACCATTTTTATTTTAAAACTTGTGCTATTATTAGCGTTAGCTAGGGAAAAGTGAATTTTGTTATTCAGACAAAACTTCTGAAGGGAGAATCAAGCAAGTCAGCCTCGAAAACCACTAAAGTAAAGCAAAACATGCGGCTCGTGATATCGCTTCACTAGCTTTATAACTTACGCTGTAAGTACTGCAATCTTGCTCTTATGCCCCGTTTATTCGACATTTTCCCTCTGTCTGTAGGTTTGTTTTCCATTTTTGCTGTATGAATCTAGATTCTGCGCCGTTTTTCATTGAGCTTTGCCTCGCTAGTTTTTTTACTTTAATTTCAGGAAAGGTCGTTGTCAACGATTGCACGTAGGTGTCAATCTTGAATAAACAACACGAACAACTTTTCCAGCAGTCCGTTATCTCCGTTTTTATTTCTTTGTTTATATAATTGTTTAGCTACCCACATCGCCCTCTTTTATTCGAATTCAATTCAAAACCGTGCTGAGATTGGCATGTGTAATTAGCTCTTTTTGTAAAGCCCCTGTGCAGTTTTTATCCCCCTCCATCGAATTAATCTGAAAGTAAAAATTCAAGGGAAGAAAATCTTTTCTGTATTTTCTTTGCTGTGGCTTTTAAGTTCGTCAATTCTTTTATCCTTGTTTGACACTCAGATTATATGAATTGTCTACCAAGACACAAAAACCTCTCTTTATTCTAAAGAGAGCTTAATTGTGATAATATAAATTACAAGTTAAAAATCATGCTGTAATGTTTTGTTTTGGTTTGCAATCGATCGCGCGCTTTGAATAACATCAACACGAATGCGCCTTTCTTCAACTCACATAGGTTGAAGGCTGAAGTAAAATTTTCCTTAAACTTTTAAATCTCAGTGGAAAAAAAAAAAATGTCATTTACCGGCCTAGGTCGGTCCGTATTTGGAGAAACTGTGCCCTCGGTCTGAGTACCACCCGAGGCCGTACTCAAGACCTCGGGCACAGTTTCTCCCAATACGGACCTCCCAGCCGGTGAATAACATATGTGCTGGGACTAAAATAAGCTTGCGCGTAACATCTTATCAGTTGATACCATACACCTAACCTGAGATCAGGCTCTATTTTCGTTTCGCTTTGAAAATTACATTCCGGCGGGCAAGGCGAAACGAAAAGAGAGCCTGATACAAACCTTTAACGAAATGTCTGCCGCCCACTTTTTTGATTGATTGACATTTACCAAATCAGCCAATCAGAATTACTTCCGTTGCTTGTTTTTCTAATATGCAAATTTTTCACGCGTGGGAAAAATGCAGACTGGCTGACTTAAAAAATAACTTTATCTGTTAATTTTTTCAGCTAAAAATAAAACAGTCAGCACAATCACATTTAACTTCTTGCGAGATTAATAGAGATCTCGAAGGTTACTTCTGTTGGCGTAGAAGGTAAAAAGTTTTCGAAAAGACGGCGACACGATGTTCTACTAGTTTTATTATTTTGGCTAGGCGCTCTGGAATTTAAAATACTGATCATGAAATCTCTATTTTTCCGTTGTCTTGATATTTTCCTCGGCAATTTCCCCCGATTTTCAGTACATAAATCTTTAAAAACAAAAGCAAACAGCCAACGAGCGAGGACACCAGTTTTCTTGGTTTACATTTAACAAAAAGCATAGTCAAACAACCAGTCTGTCAACACTGAAAATTCCTTGAACAGCGATGCGATATTTTTCGTCTAATACTTCACAGTTGGCGATTGAGGTTTCTTTTCGCAGTGAGCCTCCGCTTGCGTATCCCGTTCAGAGAAGTCATTCCCAGCTAAACTTTCAAATGAAACCAGTTTTAAGATGGACAGTATTTTGATTTGCACCCCGGCGTTTGTTGGTAAATCAAAATGCACCTTGTTAGCGGTCAACAACTTGCAGAGGGATTCAACTTCGCGATACACTCACTTTCCGTAAATAAAGCAAATCCTGAGAAGATATGAACAACCACATGAATTTTCTGAATTTCCATGGCACATATTAAGGCATATTTTCCTAACATAAGACCATAAAACAATAAAAAAGACAGCAAAATCGATCCTTCCCTCCACCGACGAAGGATCACTCACGAAAACAACCACGCGAGGAATAAGCGCTTTCAACTTCCGGCGTTTCCGACAGCCAATCAGATCTTGTGGCATTGTTCTAACAGCCAATCAGCGTTACGGCCAAAATCTGGCCGCAACGAGCACAGACTTGTAATAGTTTGTATCAGGCCCAATTTCAGCGGTAGCCGTGAGAGAGAATGTATGAGAACCGCTCAAATTGGGCCTGATCTCAGGTTACCATACACCTAAAATAATATAGCGGGATTCACGAATCTCTGTAAGTGTGGCATGGGGTATACAGCACTGCACCTATCCAAAGATTAATTAATTATTCGTCAATAGTGGCCTATTGCAGCTATTAAATAATGGCAAGGCATATTGAGTCCAGCACCTTGATATTAGTTCATCACCTAGCTAAGTCTTATGACTTATTTCAAAGTTCGGCCAGTATTTAGCTCAACCCCTGTCTCAAGTAAGAGATCTTTCCATAAAGGATTTCCAGAAACACTTACCCGAGTCAAAAGTCATCCCTGATATTCAAAATAATAGTTTATTTACGGAAACGATGAACTCTTTCTGTTTTTTTCTTTCAGTGTGTCCATTTGTCCAGTACCAGCGCCCGTTGTCCCTTCTGAACAAGTAAAGGATCCTTCCACAAAGGGTTTACAGAAGTGCTTTGATCCTCAGTGCGACAAAAAGTTAAATTCAGATTCTTGTGATGGAATCGTGGGATGTTACTGGTGTGTCCGCGATAAACACGATGCTCCTCTTAATAACAAGTACTGCGCCGACATTAATTCATGTTACGGAGGAAAGGAAGGTAAGAGATTAACTATTATTATGAGACAGATAATTTGTAATGGAACGAGTCATATCAATAATAATTATAACATAGCTAGAAAATTCGCCTAATCAAATTCAATAGCGCGAGCGTGCTTCATATTCCTATTGAGCACGCTGATGACGTCAATAAACTATTCGTAATTTCTCGAGTTGTTGTGAGCTTAGCAATCCTGAGTCTCCTGAGTGCATCCATAACTCAGCAATAGACAATGAAGCGTTTATCATTTGTTTTATAAGGAAATTTAAGAGGAAAGGTTTGAATTTGTCAACCGATAGTAGGGAAAAGAGGTGAGTGCTGTTGTTGTTATGATCTCCGCGAGCTGTGAGGGCTATGGCGTGAGATTATTCTTTGCAAAGTTGTTTTCTCTCAATAACAATTTTTCGGTAATTAATAGTTTTCCGACACCTAAACATGGATTTTACAATCATTTTAGAGTACACTTTCTCTCAGTTTCAGGATAAAAACACAAGATTAACTGTGAGGAAAAAAAATATAGTCACGTAAACATTGACGCGTACTGCTTTGAGCGCGCCGTACAATAATAAAATTTTAAGTTAACTGCTGCATTGATCGCTTTGATAATGTTATAAAACAATTAGTTCATGCTGCAGCTGTGCGTATGGCGAGATATTGAGCACTTGGGAAGTTTGGAGAGCACTCAAGAGGCTAGAGGCTAGTGCATACTTACGCTGACGCATGAACTAATTGTTAATGAAATTATAAAATAACAAATGTGACATCATCATTAGGATCTTTATTATTTTCTTTTTCTATTTATTCACCCTCATCAGTAGCTGCATCTAAAAACGAACCTGTAGTTCCATATTTACCACTTTTCCACTCCTCCACTTGAATCGTTGCTGCTTCTACTCCCACATCTGCATATTCAATATCGACTGTTTTGCTCCAACTCCTGGGCGCCCTTTTATCTTTACTGCTTCTGCTCTCACATCTGCACTCTTATCTCTCCTGTTTAAGGTTCGACACCCGCACTGCCATCTCTACTGTTTCTGCTTCCACACCTACACTGCCATCTCCACCTTTCTGCTTCCACCTGCACTGCCATCTTTATACTGTTTGTTTCTGCTTTCACACCTGCACTTCCATTCTCTAATGCTTCTGCTTACCCAAACCTGCACTTCCATCTTTATTGTTTCTGCTCCCACACCTGTACTTCATCTCTACTGTTTCTGATCTCACACCTGCGCTTCCATCTTTTCTGTTGCTGCTCCCACTCGTGCATTACCGTCTCTACTATTCTGCTTCCACAGTCCTGAACTTCCATGTGTACTACTTCTGCTCCCACACCTCCAATTTTATGTCCACTACCTCTGCTCCCACATCTACACTTCCATTTTCACTGTTTCTGCATCCACACCTAACCGCAATTCCATGCTGTTTCTGCTTCCAAACCTGCACTTACGTGCATGTATTTAGAACTGCAGCTCCCAAACCTGAACTTCAACCTCTATTGCTGCTACTCCCCCTCCTGTACTTCCATATCCACTTTTTCTGTTTCCACAGTTGAACTTCCTTCGTAATACCACTTTTGTCCCAACACCTATACGTTTTCCCTTTCGTTTGCTTCCACACTTACACTTCACCTCTACTGACTCGGTGCTTTTTATCTCTTCTGTGTTTACTTCAACACCTGCACTTCATCTATATTGCTTCTGTGCCCAATACCCAAACCGCTAATGCACGATAATCATCGGTGCCTACACATTCATCTTTACTGCATGCATCTGCACCTTCATCACTACTCTTTATATTATACCTGCGCATTTAAATTCATTCATCTCTTTTTCATTTTCATCTGCTTACAACCTCCTACTTCTGCGTCGACATTTTCATTTCCATCTTCACCTCATAGGCTTCATTAATGTTATTATCCTGTAAGACAGTGCTTCTCATAATTTCAACCAAAATCTGTTTAAAGAGAAAGTTCTCAATAACGTTTCGGTTGTGCCTTTTTTGTGCGTCAATAACTCGCTTACATGCACTTCATGCATATTAGTCAAGGGCAGAATTTAGAAGTTTATTTTTAAAAAGACAATCTGTTGTGGAAAAAAAGAGTTATTTCAGTTTACAACGTCTGATTATAGCTTAAGAGGTACGAATGTGTTAGTCTTGCCACAACCCAAAACAACTACATATAGATATGCCGCAGCGAGAATTGGAACTCGCTTCCTGATTCTTTTAGGAGAACCACTAGTCTGAAAGAATTTAGACGTTTACTTTTTTCCCATAGTTTCTTAAATTAGGCTTTTACTTTTACTACCAGTTTGTGTTTTTTGCTAATATGTTTTTATTAAGTGTGAGTATATGCAATTTATCGGAAATACTAGCCCTTGGCTACTCTAAAATCCCAAGTTAAATAAAGTTATGTATGTATGTATGTATGTATGTATGTATGTATGTATGTATGTATGTATGTATGTATGTATGTGTGTGTGTATGTATGTATGTATGTATGTATGCATGTATGTATGTATGTGTGTATGTATTTGTGTATGTATGTTTGTAGGTAAATATAGTCGAAAGTAGGAATTGAAATTTCCGATTATAATCTAGAGTAAAGTTGTAAGAATGCAAATTAGTAAGGGCTTCCCAGGGTCCGCGCTACACTAACGCAAATACAGAGTACACGTCATTATAGCAAAGCCTAGTATGGGCAAATTGTAATAGTTTGACCTTTTTTTATTTTATTTACAGGGACAAGGGCCCCCGTAAGTACAAATATTCCGAAGGACAAAGATGGCAAAGCTGAAGTTAGTAACAAAAGTGGAATGTCTGCTGGTGCTATTGCTGGCATTGTTTTGGGGGTAATTGGTTTCATTGTTGTGATTATTCTGATCGTGGTGAAATTATTCAAGAGGGAAAGAATCCCAAAGATCACTGCAAGGACTGAATGCATTGGACGAGGAGTTCGACCATCAGCACCCAGCTCAGTAGTGCATAGCCCGCCACCTCAACCCTACAAGGTTCCTTACGCCTCTGAACCTGGTACCTCTATGCAGCTGACGGGCATAACACCACGTTACGAATCGCCTCCGCCAAGTTATGGTGAAATTCAGCCTAGTGCACCACCCTACAATCCTTACTACAAGCAAAGTGTTAGACACAAATAAATCAGGCATCAGGATTTTGAGTAAGCGTAAAGCTGATTAGAATCACGCGATTAAGCCCGCCAAAGCTGCATCTGTATTAATGCTCTATAATTGTGAGACCAAATTTGATTGCCTATCCTTTTTAAATGCCTATATAATCTAAGACGGAAAAAATCATTACTATTATCTATTGCGCGTGCATTTAAGACTACAGGGCCCAGTTGTTCGAAGGCCGATTAGCGCTTAACCCGGGGTTAAATTTAACCCGGGTTTCTTTCTGTTGTGTTCAAAAGCATTTTCTCGGATAATTTCCTCTGTTATTTTTAGAGCTTTCAATCATCAACTTTTAGACAAAAAGAATTAAAACTGAAATGCTTTTTAAGCCTTCAAATCTGAATTCAAATCTCGCACTAACCCTGGGTTATCTTAACACTGCTTTGAACAACTCGGCCCAGGTATTTACATGACAAAGCATGGTAGTCCAAGAGATAAATGAAAAGATCGGGAAAAAAAGCAATTAAATTTTGTTAGGTTATGAACTCTGCTCAACTCATTCTTAACTGTTATGGTTGAGCAGAAACGGCGTAGTCTCTTGGTAGGTTGGGTTGTGGATTCTATTGTTGAGGACCCATTAATTACATATGCAAAATGAGTTTGTAGTAAGTTCTTTTCCCTTTGTTACGTTCCATTTTGCACCTCCTGCGCTAACTTACAGTTTTAAGAGTACGCAAAGCTACATTTTTTCAATAGTTTGTTTTTCATTGTTAGTTGTACTTTTTTACTGAATTATTATTTCTTTTCTTTTTTTTTGCGTTAACTGGTGCTTAAAGGCTTAGACCTTTGTACAGTTTTGGCTTAATAAATGAGAGCATTGTTCAATTATTTGTTGTTGTTTACAATTCGATGTGTGCTTTTTGGTAAAATAATATACATGAAAAAATTTCTCGATTGTGATTGGCTAAGAGAAATGCAGTTTTTAGGTAACACGGTGCAGAAAAAAGGTAATTGAGTGCAGAAGAAAAGGTAATTTAGTGCAGAAAAGAGTAACAAACGTGACATTCTGATTGGCTAACAAACAAAGGAACTCACTGGGAGCCAATCAAATGCGCCATCTAAATGGTGCAAAATTTGGATCCGCTCCGGACCAGTTTCGAGCAAAAACCGCAATGGTTGGCCTTGTGCAGGCATCACAAGGTATCCAAGGGCGGTTTCAGATAAGGAAACTAGCGTTTACCTTGCAGCACATTTGCTTCGCGACCGAGACAACTGTAGAAGAGCTGAAAAACTGCTCTAAAAACGAAAACACTGCGAAAAGCACTGGTTTTTGGCTCGCTGTTTGGAAGAATTGGTGCGTAGATAAGGAAATTACTGATGAAATAGAAAATTATGAGCCGGCTGAGCTTAACACTTTGCTCGAGCATTTCTACGCCGAAGTAAACAATAAAAAAGGTGAAGATTATGAATCAGAAAGCCTTAAAGTAATGATGGCATCGCTTGATAGACACTTAAAGAGCAAAGGCTGCACCCTGTCCATTGTACGTGACCGAGAATTTAGTTCGTCTGAAGAGGTGTTAGAGGACAAAGCGAAACAGCTTCGCTTGGCTGGCCGTGGTAAGCGCCCAAACAAAGCTCTGCAAGTATCAGAGGAGGAAGAAGAAATTCTCTGGAAGAGCGGAAAACTCGAGGTAATAACCCAGAATCTTTAATTCAAACACATTGAACAACTCCACGAACTGCTCAGCCCGTTTCTGCAGCTTGCAAACTTTAAAAACATCGAGCAAAGTGTTGTTTTGACTGCACTTGTGATGATATTTGCGGCATTTGAATAATTTATTTTTGCACGTAGTTTACGCGTGTTGACTCCTTATCAAAGAGATTTTAAAGCTATCTCGCAATTTTTTCATGAATATCTTTAATAAGTAATCACATGATTTTTCTCGTGCAATTTGGAATGAATAAGCACTCGTAAATTTTTTCAAAGACCACAAACTGCACTCGCCCTACGAGCTCGTGCAATTTCCTTAGCCTTTGAAACAATTTACTCGTGCTTATTAATTCCAAATTGCACTCGAAATCATGTGATTACCTGTGCAAATGTTGGCGAATTTTCTGGGAATTGAAAACCATACTCAAGGTTCAGTATAGTTCTTTCCGTGGTGTAACATGAGAGGACACAGAGGCTTTTTACTGGAAGTACAATCCCACGCAAGGATGTTTTCTCCGCGGGCAGCTAATCCGACTTAATCCCGTTTAATATGTCGCGCTCCTCGAAAGTGAAAAAATTTTCTTGTCGTGTATTAGATTTCAGATACATTTTCTTAATCTTCAGAATAAATTAGTTTACGCGCAAAGGGCTTCTAAAAAAATCACAAGGCTCGTCCCACTTCGAGTCCACCTTCTGGCCGAGATACGCCGGCTTGGTAGCTGGAATACATTGCCGAGGCGAAGATCTGGCATTTTTTCCTCCTCGTCGTATTTTCTCGAAGACAAATGTTTATATCTGTACTGAGAATGCAGCGCATATCGGTGGATTTTACTTCATGCGGCTTGCTACTTCTGAAGGAAGAGTGCCGGATTTCATCGTTTTGTTCATTTTTACTAGTGTTGGCAAATGTAAGGTAAAAGAACCGACAACTTTAACTGAGGTAAGAATTGAAGTTTTAACAGCGAATGTCAGGGGCACCCAACGAGAATATAGCTCAAAACAACTTAAACATAGCATTGTTAAACGTATTTTAGTATTTAAAAGTAGATATAGGCATATTTTTATCCCCTAAAAATTTTTCATCTGTTCGGATTTCCTAGCTGAAAGTCTAGTGATCCGAAAATTATAGGGATCAAAACTTACCTTTTCGAAAATTTCAGCCAGAAAAAGGCTCCCGAAAATTCTAGGTGACCTTTTTAGGGTAAAAATCCGTTAAAAATGGGCAATTATACCATTTTTTAGATGTTCGAAAATCCTAAAAGAGGCAGGCAAGCAAGAAATTTTACAACAAATGTTCCGAAAATTCTAGATCTCAAATCGTCTCCCGAACAGATATTTTTTCCAAAAATTAACGTTGGGTGCCCCTGGAATGTCTGTAAAAATCGTGCAACCGGCGGTCACGGTCAAAAATTAAATTTCGCTCATATCTTGTCCATACATACTTATTAGTAAGTAACTAAACGTGGTGTAGTTTGTTTTTCAAAAGGCCGCTTGGATTTGGAGAAAATCGACAAAATCAATTTTCGTGGTCGGCGACTTGAAAACAACCAAAATTTGAGGCACAGTGAGGCGGTCTCAAAACTTCGCCCGCACGCAGAAAGGAAGAAAGTGTGGTAAAATATTTCCCGATAAATCAATTTATAAAGGGTTTTAGCCCTAGTATGGCGGTTAATTCTTATCTTAACGTTAATGTGGAAAGTGAACAATTTTATTTTAGTTTTGGTTCTTTTTCAACTCGACGAAGTTTAAATTTAGACCCTTCCATTTGACAAATTATTTTCCCTAGGACCAATGATCTGTATCCTGCTTACGTGCAAGCACGATAACCAAACTCGCGGTGGCTTTGGTTTGGTCTCTTTAACTGGAACGTACCTTTCACTGGGCACGTGGTTTTTCCGAAATTTCAAACAGGAATTTTTGTTCAATGGAAAGCGTGTAAAGTGCCTACGGAGAAATGTTGGCCCGGCTAGGAGGCTGACCCTACCATTACTGGACAAAGTGGGTCACCCTTCTAGCAGCTGAGCCAACTTTTTGTAATTTAAACGGTTCGCCATGTTTTGTAAGGAAATGTGTGAAACGTTGCCTCTTCCAGGGAAGCTCGGATAGGCGGGTGACCCTTCTGCTCGAGACAAATTTTCTTCATATAAGCGGGGCCTAAATTTTAGTTCTTTACATTAATTTCCATAGTCCAGCTGACGTACATTTTTTTTTTCTGTTTTTTGTTCTACAATGTGGAAAACTGAAATTAAAAAAAGTGAAACCCCGTTGATGCGACCAGCGTTGGGCCATAAAATCCTGGTCGTAATACCGAGGTGGTCGCATTAAAGAGGTCTTCAAAATAATAAAATGACTCGGAGTTTTTCACGTCTGGGTGGAAAGACTATGGGAGGTGAGCTGAGACAAGAGGTGCTCGTAAAAACGGGGTGGTCGCAAGGCGGGGTTCCTCTGTGTATAAACAGAAGCAAGAGTTTGACGATCGAATAACCATGTTCAGATTAGAAAAAAATATATATACTGAAAAATAATTGCAGAATATTTACGAACAATGGAACATGCATATGCGAGAGAAAAGACAGCCGCCTGATAGGTAATAACGCGGTGAAATAGCTAGAGATTGAAGCCTGAAGTCAATCAAAGGCACATACAAGGCAACGGGGGGAAGTTGACGTGAAAAAACGATATTTTTGGGCTTATTTAATATTGTATGGAAGCACACTTAAAGAAAACTCAGGAAAAAAAGAAATAAAAACATGATTTTAATTGTTAGTAGTATAATCTGCTACTCTGGCAAGAACATTAAAAAAAAGGCGTCGCTCAAATTGTTAGATTGGGAAGCCTGTGAATACTGTCACGCAACACTTTTGACCAGACGTTTATGACCAAAGAGGTATCGGCAGCCCGAAAGTTTCACTATCAAAATCGCAGTTTTGTGAGATCTAGAATTTTTAAATGGCAATGGATGTAAAAGTGAGACTGCGGAAAAGAAAGGCCATGTTCTGTTTGAGGTTATATTCACGCACCGCGTTTCCTCGAGTTTTTGGATCTTCGGTTGATTAGCACGGGACAAGGCGCAATGCCAGTTCACAAGAACGGGAAAACGCATTTGAGGTAACAAAAACTATCGTTTCAGTACAAATGTCTTTAATACAAGTGCAATTGTGAGTTAAGTTTCTTTTGGAGAGCCCAGCCATCGTGACTTGTCGAGCAACAACCAACCGACTTTCTTGAAAAGTCTCATATTTCAAGCAAAATTTATTCAACTTCAGAAGGTTCGTGTGAAGTACAAATTTAATTACCTAGGCCAATTCTTGTATAT